CACCAAGTTGTTGTTTCGCTGAGATTTCCAGTCGTTGAACACTTGAACCATGTTGACTGCCCATGAACTGATGGGTTTTACTTTCTTGATTTTTTAAGCGCACTTATTTCACTGGCCGACACATGTTTTCCGAATCTGTATTGCTAGTATTTTCAGTCCATTCCGTAAAATTTTCCCGTTTCAGTTCCGGAAATGATCCCAAACACCAACACTGTAAATCGAAATTCATAAAAGTCCTGGCCACATGGGCCATTTTTAAATCCGATCGCCTGAGTTCATACAATCTGAACTGCTTGACTCGATTGAAAATTATCCTCGTCGTAGGCTTGCTGCAAAAACGGCGATTCTTTACGCTATAGACCACTTCTACTACTTTCTCCAAATCATAGAATACAAATGAATTGATTATCTCAAGAAAATGATCACGTGGTACAGTACTAAGAAAATTTACCAAATTTGTAAATCCGTTCCTTGGATACCAAAAACCCTTCGCGTTAAGACTATCACGTGGTTCTGATTCAGAGTCTTTATTAGTTGATGCAAAGAAAATACCTAATATAGGAAGAGGTCAAATGAAGGGTCATGGGATAAATCAGTTACATGATTGACAGCTCGATGATGCATACAAAATATCGTTTCGTTATTGCAAACTCGGAGGCTAACGCCTCCTCGCGTGCAATAACTCAACGATATTTTGTATGCATCATCTCGTGTCATCATGTAACTATTACATGTTGGCTGTGAAAATTATATCTTATATAATGTAAATCTAAAGCAAAATAATATAATTAAAAGACAATTTGTGTTGAAACGTGTCCGTAGCACGATTGAGGTCAACCCAGCGTGCTACTTTTCCCGTCAGGGAGGGGACAACCTATGTTGATGTTGGGGGTATGCCAGTTTGCCGGCTGCCCCACTGTTGTGTAGACCACTGTGGACAATACCTGCCAACTCGAATAAAACATTAAACTTAAATACTTAGCATTTGTTTATTAAATATAGGTCTTTGATAAAACATTGATAAGGTAACTTGACTTCCATGAACAGCAACAGAAACGATGTGAATTTAGAACCTCTTCAGTTATACATTCTTCTAGTATTTAAAAATTTGATAACGGGTGAATAATTCAAGATTTTTGATACAATAAAGATTAATTAAAAAAAAAATTTTGACGCATTTAATCTGAAATGGAACAATAATACACTTAGCCAATATTATAACATTTACATTTTTTTAAATTGGGCATTAAAGTGTATATGTTTGTAAATGTAAATATTAAAGAAAAATGATTGATTGGTGCATGTTTTAATTTCTCGCACAGGTTTTATTATCTGGTATCGCCTGATATCTTATCACTTAACAAGCACAAAGGGGCATGAATGGAAACAGAAATATTGAACAATTCAAATTACCAGTTGACTGCCATTTTGATCTCATGGTAAATTGCAATAAGAAATTAATATTCTTATATATAGGGATCTGAACACCTCCATGTTATTATCGAACGTTGATACTAAAAAATGGTTTAGTACTTTTAATTTAAAAATTTAATGGTCTGTGATAAAAACCCGCTTTCAACTACATGTACATATATTTCGATTTATTGCCATATAATATCCAGGTATAACAGGGCCAAGTTTTTTTGTCTCCCCAACCCACAGGCACTTGTTTCGGATTTTTTTTTTAACCCATAGTATAATAATAACACCTTGTGCTATTGTTATACTATGGGTTAAAAAATTATTTCCGAAACAAGTGCCTGTGCCCCAGCCACTCTCCCCACGACATGTTCTACCAAGCATCTTTCTTTACTCCTCACTTAAATATGAACTGCAGTGAAGATTAAAAAAATTCAAATCAGAAAAGAATTAAAAGAATCACCAAATTGTCTTTAAAATTTCTTTTTCGTTTTTCACTGCTTCGTATTTTGTTTATGATTCCCTTGTTGGAACTGATTCATTCATAAATTACAGGTCAATTTAAAATATTGTTAACTTTAGATGCATTGTTACTTAAAACCTTATCAAACATCTCATTAATTTAAATAGTCTATCAACCTACAAAACTGGTCAATATCTGGTTGCGTGTGGTTTATTTTTATGTAGATTGGAAAATCCAAACGCATTACATTCCATTTAGCAGTTTGAAACACAAAAACAGCAAAAGCTGACCATTCCCTATCAAAGAGTAAACATATAAATCAATGCAGCATTCGACAACCCAATTTAATGCCAACTACCCCCCTCAACACACACAAAAGCCTTACACATGTTCTATGTCCCCTCAAACTCATTACGAGGGAATAATTATACAATAACTGAGATAATGTTTTACTTCGTATAAAAATTTCTAAAACAAGGAAAGTCATTGTCAAACAAGTTGATGAAGGAATACAATTCTCATATATAGTAATCATTTCGTAAGTTCTGTGGTCGATACAATGACCTTGTCAGCGATCATTAGGTGTAATGCTTACCAACGTTTTTCATACTTATTGTAAGGCCATAATTTACATGCCGAATTGTCGACGGATTTGATCATGAAAAGCAGCACACTGCGGTTGTGATAGGTTGGCAGGGAATGCTTACTCCTCAATGGCACCTGATCCCACCTCTGATGTTTTAAAGGTCCATGTTTACTCTGCTCCTAATTTGAAAAAGAATTTTGAGCGTAAGTTCTGTTCGTTATCCCCATACATTAGTATTACACCTACAATTTCTGACTGATGTTTTAATAATATGCAATCTTTCATATTGAATATGATTAATTATTTGCATTGGAACATTTTAAAGTCTAATATAGCATATAAACAGAGCATAACAATTGGCATGAAACGATTCAACCAAAATTAATATGCTCCTGTCATAGATTGAAGTTACTAACAATATAATGTTTTCCATATTTATTAAGGTCTTCAAATAGTCTCAACGGAAAACTTCGTATAATTCTGTTGTTTCTTTTCTTTTTATTAATAAGAATCCCCGTGTCCTACAAAAGACCCTCTTGTTATTCTTAGTTTTTCCCACTATGACGAAGGTCTTTCGTCTTCAGCGGAATATTTTTATAATTATTTTTTTTCTCTCCTTGCATTATATCAATAGCATATCGCAAGGGAGTTGGGGGGATGTAGTAATGTGCTTTTGTGTGTGTTAGTTTACCTTGAGTGACGTAATTTGCATTGGGATCGATATCGAATGCTGCATAGATCGATACCCAAGGAGATATTTTTGTCTTTATTTTTATTTGACATAGTTTAGAATTCACACTACCCCTGGAGGCTTCCATACAAGTTTCAGCTTTTCTGCCCAAGTGGTTCTTGAAAAGATTTTTAATGACCACAACCTATTTTTATCTTTTCTTGATTATTTCCTCTTGGAAGAGGGTGTGATCTTTCTTTTGAACAAACTTATGTCCTTCATCCAATGATGCTTTGTAGCAATTTGGTTAAAAATGGCCCTTGGTTCTTGAGAAGTTAAAAATGTAAAAAGTTTACAGACGGAGAGACAACTAAGCAGACAGATGGAAGATGGACAACAGGTGATCAGAAAACTTCACTTGAGCTTTCAGCTCAGGTGAGAAAAAATAGAATCCCCGTTTCATGGCAGGCATTTGCAAGATAAAAATCCCTCACTGCTGTTCAATGGCCCTGAGTGCCGAGTATATGTCTCAACTGGTATAAAGAGAACTCATTCTAAACTTGGATGTAAAAAAAACTAGAACTGTCCAAATGGGACAAAATACCCCCGCTGGGTTTTTCAGAAGTAAGTTTTTCCTTAAATAAAGATATATATCAAACATGAATTATGAAATTTTTTTTGTCCAGCGATCTTGAACTTCCCCAAATGACCTTGGGTCAAGGTCATGACACACCCTTGGGTCATGGGCAATCTTTCTGTGAAATGAGAACCTACCAAGTTTACTCATAAGAAAGATATGGACCTGAGATGAATTATAAAATTTTTCTTCCAGTGACCTTGACCTTCTCCAAATGACCTTGGCTCAAGGTCATGACTAACCCTTGGGTCATGGGCAATCTTTGTGTGAAATGAGAACCTACCAAGTTTATCCTTAAGAAAGATATGGACCGGACACAAATTATGAATTTTACTTCCAGTGACCTTGAACTTCCCCAAATGACCTTGGCTTAAGGTCATGACACACCCTTGGGTCATGAGCAATCTTTGTGTGAAATGAGAACCTACCAAGTTTATCCATAAGAAAGATATGGACCAGACACAAATTATGAAATTTTTTTTCCAGTGACCTTGAACTTCCCCAAATGACCTTGGCTCAAGGTCATGACACACCCTTGGGTCATGGGCAATCTTTGTGTGAAATGAGAACCTACCAAGTTTATCCATAAGAAAGATATGGACCGGACACAAATTATGAAATTTTTTTTCCAGTGACCTTGAAGTTCCCCAAATGACCTTGAGTCAAGGTCATGACACACCCTTAGGTCATGGGCAATCTTTGTGTGGAGTAGTAGATTCTAATGTCCCTCTGTAAGAAAGATATGGACCGGATACCCCACTTGCGGGGGGTATAACAATATACAATTAATCCATTAGGCTAGAAGTGTTTACAACACAAGCAAGTAAAAGGAATGCTGAATGTGTACTTTAAAATTTTAACAGCTTTGGCGCTGACGAGAATGTGCCAATTCATGAATACTAAATTATTTATAAATACAAGGTTCAATGATTGTGCCAACTACTCCATTTCCAGTGATTGTGCGAAAACTTGAATGCCTTAATTTATGTACAAGTACATCTATTACATGTATTTTTTCCTATCCTGCAGTGCACTCTGAGAAATTCACACAAAACTATAAGAGGAGGATGGTAAAGAGAAGGACATTTTTAGTGCAAAAAGCTAGGCAATGGAAAAAGAGATTTAAATTTTTGACTTCTGGATTTGATTTCTCCCCTTTGTTGTTGTACATACATTTCACAGTATCCCTAAATGCTCAATATAGATATAAAAAAAGAATACTAGAACTTTCTTATAATATTTATGTAGTTTACTTGCATTTTCTACAAAACATCTTGGTATTAAGATGATCACTCAAAATCACTTCCCCAACAAATATTCATGAAAATACTCTGTATTTATCTTTTTTATTACCTAGCTTGCATCAGAGTCTATAAAAAGTTAGGTCAAAATGAATGTTTAACTGAATATTGCTTCTAGACTAAAGTACTGCACCAGATTTTTTTTCACAAGGTATGCTATGTAGTTTGTACAGAATCACTAATTTTCCATAGAAACAGTTCATGTAAGGCATATAATGGCAATGTAAAAAGTTCAAATATTTTTTCCCGCAGATTACAAAGAATTTGTAATTTCATAGAATTTTGACACTGTGGAAAAAATGTATTTTCAGTACATGCATATAAAGCAATAAATTCACTTAACATTTCATAATCATATAACTAAGTCTTCTGAAATCACATAACAATTTACATTCTGTTCATTTCATAATCAAAATATGACAAAAAAGATAAATGTAAAATCATAAAACAATGTATGTTATAGTCTATGTGTAAATCATGATCTGACAGCATATCTTATATGGGTTCCTTAACGACAATTATATAGCAAAATAGATTCTCAATAGGGTATCAGATAATATGTATTTTTATACATACTACTGAAGTAATTTTTCCTTCAGCATGTTTTCCAGTTTAATGGCATCAGCACCAAACTTCCTGATTCCCTCGGCAAGCTTCTCTGTTGCCATGGCATCCTCGTTCATTTCCCACCTGAATTTGTTTTCGTCCACGGTGACCTCCTCAATGTCCAAGTTCTGAGCTAAAATTGGAAAAAAATGTGTTCATAATCATAGCAAAATGTTAAATATTCATTTCAAAACTCTATCAGAATATTAGTTTTGTAGTTTTTGTAATTTATTGAGATAATTATACATAGTACGATGAATGCATTTGAGATACAGGGACATAAAATTAATGTGTAAGAAAAACTTCCAAGGAATGAGACATTTTTAATTTGACCTGACAGCCTTTTTTAAGGAGAAAACTTCTTGGGCCACTATGCTTAAACTTTTGAATTTCAAATCATTTATCAGTATAAAAGGGGTGATAACTCCATCAGACAATAAACTATAAATAACTAACCTTGTTTCTTTGACAGATATGGCTTGACTTCTTCTGTTGACTGTTGTAATTTATCCAGCAATGAAGGCCTAGTAAGGAAAGAAGATACTGAACTTTTAAAACTTTAAATCAATGAATCTACATGGCATAAAGTGTATACAAATATGTCATAATTTTATTCTGCTTGTAATTGGTTTTTGACAGAATTAGACTGTAGAAAATTAGTTTGAATAGTATAATTTTTGTTACAGTAGTTGCCTATGTCACAATGCAACATGCATGAAGATTTTGATATTAAAATTATTTTGTTCACTTTAATGCTATTTTTGAGGAAAACAATGTCATAATATTTTCTTCCCTTAATTCTAGAAAACTGAATTACATCTAGACGTGCATGAAAAGTGAATTTAATTAAAAGTTATCCAATATTTACTCAGGTGAGAGCAATATACATGTAAAAGATAAAATGCTCTAACCCATGCTATACAGCTATACTCTCATAAAATGTGTAACTTTTAAGCACATTTTGATTCCTTAAATGTGTATCAAGAAAATCAAATTTACTGTTTTCAGAAATATTCAATGTAAAAATGGAATGCTGTAAGGGAGATGAACTTTAATAATATCGTATTAGTGTCATTTTCAAGCTAATTACATGTATGCAAAAATGTCTTAGGGTATTACCAAGGACTGTTTTTTTTTAATTGAAAACCATAATAAATAAATTCCATAAATGAAATATTTGCCTCCCTCCTAAAACCCATCCACAAATAAAGATATTGACTATTATTTATCTAAATATGAATAGTTTGTCAGACTAGTTACATGGATAAGTTGACCTACGATATGGTGAGAAGATCACATCCTGCCAGTCCCAGAATCTGGTCTGTATTTCTGAAGGAAGCACCCATTACTACTGTGTTGTAGCCATACTTCTTATAGTAATTGTATATCTTTGTCACGCTTTTAACACCTAAATAAATACAATCATGTAAAATCCGCATCTCTGAAAACATCAACTCCAACAATTTATTACATACTAGTATTTAAAAGAAAATTATGTACCATATCTATAGGTTATGTAAACCGATAAGCTCAAAAAATTCATCATGGTCTGCATTCCTATTTGTGTTATTATGTTTTGGCAGAAATACTGAATATTTACATAAGAAAGAGGATAGAAATGTCTAGATATAAACCTACATGTAGCATATTATTTAATTAAACCTATTTTAGTTGATAGTGATCCTGATAGTGCAAGTAACTTTAATGTTTCAACCACTGCTACCTTTAAAAGTTCAGTTTGTAGTTGTAAATAGTTAAATAGTTAAAGTTTCTTGCACTATCAGGATACTGAACAAAACACCAACAATTTTTATTATCTTAAAACTGTATTACTGTAACGGTCTTTAACCTTATCCATTGAAATTTGGACAGATGTGGACTGATTGACAAACAATGTCAGCCATTTGAAAACCCACCTGGATCTTCTAACATACTGTAGGACTTTTGATCTGTGTTCTTGACAAACCAATCAAAAATTCTACCCACAAATGGAGAAATAAGTGTCACCTTAGCTTCGGCACAAGCCACTGCCTGAAAAAGAATTTTTGGAAGCATTCAATAAGGTTAGAAGAGTTATCTTCCTTGAGAAAATTTGAAAAAAAAATTGAAAAAGTAAAAAATAATCACCTGATAAAAATTGAAAAGTAAAGTCATATTACAATGAATTCCATATTCACTCTCCAAAACTCTGAAACCCAAGAGAAATGAAACATACAGTTACATGTAAATATACCAGTGACTATATTCCCCATTTTCAAAAGGTGAGTTATTTCCCCTGAAGGGAACTCTTTTACTGTGTTTAATATGCATGCGCTATAAATAAAGTCACTTCCGCGGACGTTCTTGATGTAAACATGTTCATGGTGTATGCCTCTGTCATATGGAAAAATGTTATTGTGTTTGTGAATAAAAAGAAATCTTAACTGATTCGTATTTTTTTTAAATTGCCCACTCATAGTCTCTTTCTGGATTTGTATTAATCTGTGTAGTACTATAATAAGGTGCTGTGTGACCCCCCCCCCCCCCCCTTACAAAAAAAAGAAACAAATTACTATTAAAATGCTGATACATATTCGAATAGGCCTATTAAAAAAAAACACAAACAAAAAAGCTAATTTTCGGTAGTGGATGTTCTGCAGACGGATCATCATTATTTACAAAATGTGCGGAACAAATTTTTAGTTATAAAGTTTTTACGAATTAATCTAGCCTGCTGCAGCCATATTTTTATTGTATCTCTAGGAATTTTTTGAAGACTGATGACATGTCCATCTACAGTTTTACCTCTGAAATTGCTGCATATACAGCAGTAGTTCGTCTTCCGCTATCGATACCAAGAAACTGCGTTTTTGCTCGATTGTATGTCATAACATAGAACTTTTACTTACAAGAACACATTTGGTGACAATTAAAGGCCTATTTCATTTGAATTAACCGTGTTTCTAGAATTTTCTATTTGTAAAATAATTGATTCACAATTTAGTATTAAAACTTTGAATGGAATTCTAAATGAATAATTTAATCTCATGTGCTCATGTAACGAAGAAAGACTAATTAAAATAGCATCGACCTGAATTCGTGTTACATATGTCGTATAAAGTCTGAGCTGCATTTAATCAAAGTTTTAGTGTAGGATCTAAGCATATGTACATGTATATTCCCGAGTAAAATACACATTTTGTTTTAGATCAGAGAATTGAGAGCAGAAACACGAAATTGATACAATAATTTCCTAGCGTATTTCTCGTTAATTAACTGAAAACAATCTTTTCTCAAGTGTTATTTATTTTTTTTAAATCCTTTCAGTGTAAGTACATGTATTTATTTTTATAAGTTATTCTTTTTTTGCAAAGTGTGTAAATAAACAATATCAGAGAGAGAGAGAGAGAGAGAGAGAGAGAGAGAGAGAGAGAGAGAGAGAGAGAGAGAGAGAGAGACTCCGAGAGAGAGAGAGAGAGAGACTGTAACTGACATACATGTACATCTGTGAAAAAATATATGTACCGTAATTTTATTGAATTCACAATTAAAAATTCTAATAATAATATTAATTTTCACAACTTTGGTTCATTTTCAACTGTTCAACCCATTTACATATTCTCTGTACCTGTACGCACGGAAGGGGGGGGGGAGTGAAGGGTCAAGGGGTTTAGCCCAACCCCCACTTTTTTCCCAATTTTACTTTTTCTATTGAAAATGTTCATTGATAGACAGGTTGTCAACCCCCCACCCCCCACCCCCCCACACACACTCAGTTTATACTACGGTAAAGTTATATAAGGGAAATGTAGTATTGTATGCCAAGGAACTGGTACTGAAATAAGTATTAGCTTTTTCAACTTTGGGCAAGGTTTTTCTTTGCTTGCCAACTTTTCCAGGTAAGAAAAAAATATTTCTTTGGCTACCCCCCCCCCCCTTTTAAAGATGATGCTACGTGCCTGGCTAATTCGTATAGCTTTCTAGAAAGGGGGGGCTAACAGACCCTTTATAAAATAATTTATTATCTAAAAAAATGCAAACCGTTTCCTTCTTTTAAAATTTTAAATACAGCGTGTAAGTTGATCACTATTTTGTTGGATTATCGTAACATGTAGTCCGCGGAAGTTATGCTAGTGTTGAAGAGTTCCGATTTTGAGGGGAGATAACTCACTTTTGAAAATGGGGAATAAAGCAACATTCAAATGTTAAACAGTGCATTGTTAACTTATAATATGGTACTTATCACAATAACAAATGCATTTGAAAAACAGAAATATCCATTATTTTTCAGTACCTTGCTGCTTCTACCCCTTCCCAGGTTGATGACAGTTTAATAAGAATCCTTTCTTTGGAGATTCCAGCCTTTTTGTATAGATCTATCAGCTTTTTGGCTCGTGCTATGGAGGCCTCTTTATCAAAGGATAACCTACATAGGGATGGAATAAAATTGCATAAACATACATGCAGTGTATGTACTAATAATTAAGCTTTAAAATGTGCAATTTTTGTTGAAACCATCTTGCTCTTCATCATGCACATCTCAAAATATATTGGTAAAATATTTGAAAATTATTACCAAAGTTTAACATTTTTTTCTCAAATTTCTGTTAGAAAATGATTTAGCAATTGACTCAATTTGTAAATTTTTTAATATAAAAAAAAATCACCTGATAACAGATTTGCATCTTCACTTATGATTTTTTTTAATCCTTTTAACATCTTTCCAAAAATATTAATGATTTTTTTTTTTTTACCTTGCATCAACTTCAGTTGAAACCCGACCAGGGATAATTTTTAGGATTTCACATCCAAAGTTCACATAGACCTTATCCATGGCATTTGTAATTTGTTCTTCAATTGATCTACATGACATGTATATAAAAGCATATAATTAAGTAAATATGACACATCATTACATGCCCTGTTAGTTGTTTACAGCATTATTTCTGCTGCACATGTACATAATTGTTTTTTGTACAAGTAGCATGCATCTAATTTTTTTTTAAAAATCCATTATTCAGTTCGCTATAATACTATCTTGACATAAAAAGTCGAATAAATACTATTAACACCCCCCCCCCCACCATTATTGCAAATCAGTAGTTTTACACATACCCTCCTACACCTTTAGCATATTCAATGGCCTCTGTAATCAGTCCCTGGTAGGACTCCATGTTGGCAGCAGCCAAAATCAAAGAGGGGTTAGTAGTGGCATCTGTTGGTTTGAATTTTGCCATAGCTGAAAAACAAAGAATTCTATTATCGATGGTTCTACCAGAATTATAATAATTAAATACACCAGGGACCTATATATACTAACTAACTTATAGTATATTCTATAGGTCCCTGAATACACTTGCATAAAGGTAGGTGACATTATATCTTTGGAAAGAAAAAATAGTCAAAACTGTTTTAAAGAGGGTGGTCAATATTGAAACAAAGGGTGTAGTATAAAAATAATTCCCCATAATTATATTTTATAAATATTATCAAGTCAGAACTTGGATCCGCGCCTTAACATGCGGATGACTGTGTATACACACGAGCACTTACATTTCCGGCGTGCATGTCGACAACTCTGTAGGCCCCTTTATCACTTAACTTAAAAGCCAAGTTTATCATCGGAACAACAAGGAAGATGTAAACAATAAAAGCCGTCGAGTCAGCTGGCCATGAAATAACTGCACATTTACCTAGGCTATGTTGACCTGAAAACATTTTGGAGTTTATTTTTAGTATTTACCGGCAAAATCTCCAGTGTCAGCGACCACGACAGTCATGTTTTTAAGCTGGTCGAGGGAGGAAATTGCAGGTTTCTTGGGACTACTCTCCGACATGATGCTTTTACTAAGTTAATCCGGGAAAAAGAGCAATGCCTTTTCACGTCTTCTCGCTCAAATCTTCCAAAGTAAAGTGACGTCAGTTGTTTAGACAGCGGGGAGAATTCATTTATTTCATTTTTAAATATCAAAACGAAAAAAAAATAAATCTGAATTATATTAGCCTGATCCACAGGTGTAAATCGAAGTCTGTGTTCAATATTTTATTTTATAAATCATGTAAACCGTTTGAATTTCATGTTATTAAAGATGCCTAACGTTTTCCCATACCATTCTTACCCCCCCCCCCCTTCTCATTCATCCTTTTTATTGCATTAATATAATCGTATCGATATTTCGTACTTTTGACTTAATTATTCTAATGATTTTAAATACAGGGTGCTTTGGGAATTTTTTTTTCGGTGGAACATGGAAGACAATCAATCAATGTCCACACTTTCCTTGTTTCCCTGAGATTTTCAGTTGATATTTATATTAAATACTTGAAGTTTATAAATACACAAATGTTCTTTTTCAATACTGAGACTACTTTTTGATATAATATAATTATAACCGTATTTATGATAAAGTAAAATTGTAATGATCAGGCCCATAGGAAACAATATCATCGGGGGGGGGGGGCATAAATTTGTATTTTGGCGCCAAAAAAAAAAAAAAAAACCCAGCCTTAAGCTTTCAAGGGACATATCCTATAGTACATGTATAAGTAATATGTTGGGGAAAAAAGTGGGCAGCTAGTGTATAACGAGGCAGGGAGGGTGGGATGAGATTCGATCGTGACTCCCACAGCTGCATGTGTCATGCATTTTATATCATGACTTATTAGTTCGCATAGAAAAACACAAGATAAGGGCGGATCCATCACAAATTGAACAATTTAAAACTCAACGCAAATTGTATTTTAATTGTTTCTCAGTCTAAGCTCCCTTTGGGACCGTATACATGCGTCGAGTCGGGGAGGAGGGTGGAGTACTAGTAGCTAGGCGTACGCTTTTGTAATTTTTTTTATTTAAGTTTCTACTCTATACCCCATCCCATCCCCGTTGGTGGGAATGTACAAGGTAAATTCAATTTAACCCAGAAAATGTAGCACATTTATATGACATTGCATTATGATTTTTTGTTTACCAATGCAAGTAGAAAGAAAAACATACAATAACCCCCCCCCCCCATTCCTACGACCATACACCCCCTTTTTTGGTAGGAATAATAGAGTAATTTAAAAAATCATCTACTGCATGTAGTGTCTTTCTTACATATTCTTATTTTATAAAGTCGTCGCGTGTTGCAGAATTTTATTGAAGAAAGAAATTATGTCAGAAAAGACAGTACAATTATCGACTGTCATTTCTTATATTGTCCAACAAGGAAGCAGATCCACTCACCCCCCCCCCCCTTTTCGGATTTTGATCCACGCCATTGAATTAAATACCTTCAAAATCCCCTGTGTCAGCTACCACTGTAGTGAGTTTTCGTAGCTGGTCTAGAGAAGTCGCCATGATGATATTTTGTGAATTACTCTGTTTGTCTCTAGCAAATTCTTGGCAAATGCAGTATTTCAATCAATACACATTCGATGTCTGGCTCGTTCTACGGACAGCTGGTAAACGTAATTCGCTGAACAGCATGCAAAGGAACAATTAAAGAAAATTATTTGGATACTGTTGACAACAACAGGGGTGCAGAAGTTAGAAATTAAATCCGTCCTTTGCTGATACACACGATGTAAGGGGAGATAGAGGATATCTTAACAGTTCCTGTGAATCACTGAACATAAATTAAGTGGTGGGAAGTCAGTGTACACGCATACACACAAACATAGACAATATAAATCTACATAAAAGGTTAGAGCTATATATCTTTTGTAGTAAAACACTTTTCTACATGTCATTTGAAACTTATAATATCTAAACCTATTAAACCTATGGCCTTGTTAATTAAGGTGTAAATTTCATTAAAAAAATAAGGATTAAGATAGGGTGAATGTGCTGTTGCCAGTGGGCAGAGAAAATTGATATTTCTAAATAAAATTTACTTTTTATTTAGATCAGCAAAATTCAGTAAATGCATGCGCAAGTCGACATTCAGGAAACTACATTACTTTTCTAAATTTTCTTATAAACGGAATCTGCATGCACTATTCAAAAGCAAAATTTCTTGAATTAGTATATATAACAATATTTTAATGAAAATGAATATGTTTCATTTATAATTGATTTTTATTTGTTTTTTTAAATAAAAAAAAGTTAGCCAAACACATCAAGGACATGTGATTTAATCTTTTCTGATTAACATAAGAAAAAGAGATAAACTCCGCATCCTTCATTTGTGATATGTCAACAGCTACATGTAGGGATAACATATTTCACCCGGAACTCAGGAAACTGTGAAGGAGCTCGAGGTGACTTAATCAGGAAATTAAAAAAAAAATAACATGTTAGAAGTTTTTTAATCACCCATCTGTTGTAAATTCATAAGATCAGGGGTAAGGGGATGTAAATGCATCGATCTTTACTTTTTCTTCAGACTTACGCAACGGTAGCTGGAACAATATATAGCCCTCTCCTTGTTTGAATGGGGGGGGACACATAAAAAAGTCGTCGATGGCTACATTATTGCAGCTAACGCAAAGTACTTGAAAGACTTGTTAGACTTTGTTACAATATTAAAAATGTGTTCATTTTTTTTTTAGACCTATAAAGAATTACATAGAAAACGACGCAAAGTTGCATATCTAAGCGCAAAAGAAAACTTACGATTTATTTATATATGAGGGATTCATTAATTCTTAATCAAATTCGGTCAAAAATGTGTATTAATCCATACATCAAAATTTTAACTTTGCTTGTACATGTATAATGTATACTTCTCCTTAAAATTTTAATACCATATATACATGTATGTTCTTAGACAAGAATCAGCACCAACATACATTAAGTAAATGTAAGTCTAGAAATTTATTTAAACATGTAGTGACATCTGTATATAATTTTTTTTTATACAAACTGTATAGAAAAATTAATACATGTTCATGATCAGATATCAAATGATGAAATCCTTGTATTTTAAAAAAATAAATTTAAAAAGTTGGTGAAAAATTGTTTCGGCTCGATATTTCTCAATATTGGATTCATTTTGATTGAATCAATGAAAAATGTTCAAAACAAACCAATTTATTGGATTCAGAAAAATATTGTTTACCTATTTTATCAAGCCATTTAAGAACAAATAAAAGATATGTTGAAAAAAATATGACTATATATATATATGTATCATAATACAGTATATTCACAAAGAGTATTTTTTTTTTGAAAAAAGCGTAGCTGCAATAATGTAGCCCTCTCCCTTTTCTTTTTTTTTTGGGGGGGGGGATAACAGATAAAAAAATTGGAGAGGGCTACATTATTGCAGCTAGAATTTTAAATTTTGTAAGAAAGTCTTATCATAAGTTATAAAATAAAAAAAATAAGCCTACTTGTTTCCATTGCAAAACGTGTTTTTAAATATTTTTGTTCGGGGTGGATTAGCTGAATCGTCTTCGCAAAATAATGAACACTCCCTTTGCACTTGCGCAGGTATTTCCGGATGTCATGCTTTCCCTGACTTTACGAGAGGTAAGCAAAGTGACAACATTTATTTTCCCCCTTTTATTCTAAAGTTAAGATTTTTATATCTATAGCACCAAAAGTTTTTCTCCTCAAAACATTTATCTAGCATCTATACTTGGCAATGATTCTGTTTACCGAGATAATCCGAATGATCTCTGATCTTGCCAGAATTTTCTCATATACAATTGCTTAAGTGAATAATCGCTTAGTGTTAAATGTAATGTTTTCCATTTATTGAAAATGTAATTATTCAACATTGAAATTAAAAAAAAAAATCAACTGAAACAGTAATCTCATTACTGAAACAGATTTTGAACTGAAATATCATAAAGTTTACTAAATTTCAAGACCATAAACAAGCTGAAAGATGGCTCAATATCAGCTGCTGAATTATGTGAGAAGTGCATCACCAGAGCGAGAAGAATTCAGGAGTTAAACTTTATAGTGAAAAATAATTTTGACCAGGCCGAGAGAGAGTCTGTGCAGTCATCAAGATTGTGGTCTGAATATGGTAAGGATAATGGCAATTAACTTTATCATGTGTTTATTATCAATTTTTATTCCTCCAGTGATTATTCTAGGGCATATTGAATTATTACCGATTATCGGTGTTTTTCCCCTAGAGAAAATTTCCCCAGAAGACCTAATTTTCCCTTTTGATGAGTAAAATATTCCCCTTACAATAATGAGAACCTCAAAAAAACTTTTTTTCTGTCATAAAGACTGAAAATTTAAAGTAAAAATTTTCAGTTTATGAGAAATATGGTTTTAATTTGCTATTTTATGTGCTTTAAATGGTTATAAAAAATGCTGCAATTCAATTGACCCCCAAGCAGGGCTAGCCCTGCACTCGCTTGAATGGTTCCCAGACCCCGGCTGATTTTCCCAATTTCTCCAGAAAGGATTGTTTCCCCTCAAAACCTAGATTAATCCCTGTCCTCTCTCTGTCAAATGTAAAATAAATTATACAGAAGAGTGTTTGAATAAGCATAAACTTCAGTAGTATTAATACAAGCATCTTTCTAAATGTGAATAATTTATTAATTGAAATATTTTATTAAGTAATATTAACATGTAATGAAGTAGTTATTACTCAAGTCATAAAGGGGGAGGGCATCAGTCCAAATGTCCAGATACAATTTAGTATAACCTAGCTCAGCCAAGATTATGTAATGATTGTCACATTATGAATTGTAGTTTCAGGGCGTCACAATGAGTGGAGAAAGTTTGGCGGGATTCCATTCGCAATCAAGGATAACTTCTGCACAAAAGACATCAGGACAACTTGTGCTTCTAACGTTCTAAACAATTATGTCCCTCCATATACAGCCACAGTGGTTCAGAGGTTACAAGATGAAGGAGGTGTTATTATTGGTAAAACTAACATGGACGAGTTTGCTATGGGGTGAGTATTATTAAATGTCTCAGCACCCAAATATGCAGTTGAAAATACTTAACATATGTGACTCTTTCTTTATCTTGGTCAGTGCAGTTTCTGTTTGTTTATAACCATGAAGTTGATGAACAGATATGAAGGTAAATCAATTTGTTTTTCCAGGTCAGGAAGCACAGACAGTATATTTGGGCCTGTTAGAAACCCTTGGAAGTACAAGTTCTCTCAGACACAGCAGGGTACGGCCAATGGTGAGGGACAGAAGGAGGGGGGTGACTGGCACATAGCAGGGGGGAGCTCTGGTGGCAGTGCGGTAGCTGTGGCCTCAGGGACCTGTTTAGGGTATAAGTCATCCCATATTTTAATTTACGTTTTTCTATGTTTTGTCCAAAATATTACATAAAGCTTATTTTGAGGAACAAAAATTGTTTATTTATGTTTAATAACAGAAAAGAAAATATTTCTGACAAATGAAATCTCCATATATGGTTACATTTTAAAAGTACAAATTCACATTATGGAGATACAGTGAAACCTGCCTAATCTGACATGTTTATACAGTGAAAGAGATTGAACAGGTATCAGATTACACAGTTCTCACTACATTTCGAATCAATTGGTCTGACAATGAATGGAAATTATTTTTTCTTATGAGTATACCTGTAGACTTTTCAATATTTGTGATCCTTTTCAGGGCCTTTGGGTCAGATACAGGAGGGTCCACCAGAAATCCTGCTGCATATTGTGGAGTGGTTGGTTTTAAGGCAACATATGGGCGCCTGTCTAGGCATGGTCTCATTCCATTGGTTAATTCTCTTGATGTGCCAGGAATACTCGCCAAGAGTGTCGATGATGCTAACCTGATATTTAGTTAGTGTTTTGTATATTTTCATAATATAGTAGTTTTAAAATATCTACAAATATGAAAATAATTTATTATTGACATGCAGGAAAGACAACTCTTTCAACATTTATTGATGAAATATTTTACTACAATTGCACTAAATATACAAGTATCTGCATGTATTTTAATGTATTTTGAAGATAAAATTTCATTGATAATCAGCATATTGCTATTAAATGCTCTTCCTTGTAAAACATACATGTATATTGTCAATAGACAATAGTACATGGATTTCCTACAGACCATTTAAAAATTCAAAATAAGAAAATACAGAGTTTTTTTCCAATGAGCCTTGCTCTCTCACCTCTTAAGATATCAATTCAATCTTTTAGTACAATGCATTGTTTATTTTAACAGATGCTGTAGCTGGCCATGACACCAGAGATTCCACTACAGTGACTGATCCTTTTGAGAAATTTACACTACCTGATGATATTAGTGTAAAAGACCTGCATATAGGTATTCCAAAGGTACTATACATAGACAGTTGATTGCTTATAAAATTTAGTTAAGTCCACAATGCATTTTTACAATTTGACAATTGATTCTTTTGGAAGAAATGTTTTTATTTCTTAATGAGAAAATTATTTATTCAATGATGTAATAAGTATGTGAAATCTACTTGCACCTTGCATTTGGGGGGAATTAAATATTTCTTTAAATACTTCTGAAGATTTTCAGCACTTTATTGGCCATGTTCTTGAAATTAATAACAAAATTTAAAAATATTATGATTTGCATGTTTTGTTGTTTACATGCATTTCCATATTTAAAAATTCATCCAGGAGTACCATGCCCCTGGACTGTCCCCGTGCGTACTAGATGCCTGGCACAGAGCAGCGGACATGTTTGAGAATGCTGGGGCCCGAGTCTCCCAGGTGTCTCTCCCCCACACTCAGTACTCCATTATCTGTTACGGAGTCCTCTGCTGTGCTGAGGTGGCCTCTAACATGTCACGATACGATGGAATAGAATATGGTAAGACCATTAGTTTCACATTGCACTGTAATATGAAAAAAAAATGCTTTTTTTATCTTCAGAAGAAAGGACATAAGTCTGAAAGAAACTTTGGTCTTTATTTTAACTAAAATTCACGGAAACACATATAATATACTGTATAGTTGTACATGTAGATTTAAAAATTTCACAGAGATTTAAAATTTTTTTTTTTTTTTGAAAATGTATAATATTTCATAACATAATTTCATGCATAAGTTAATCAATAAAAATAATTCTATATAGATACTGTAATTGACATAAAGATTTTCAGAGAAGTAATGAACATTGTTTAGGTCACAGAGCAAAGATTGAAGATTCCACAGAAGAACTGTATGCAGCCACCAGGCATGAGGGATTCAACGATGTCGTCAGAGGAAGGATATTTGCAGGAAACTTCTTCTTACTCAGGAGGTAAAAAAAGACATCAGTTACATGGAAACCAATATTATTCAAACAATACTTATTCAAGAATTGTCAGTTTTATACATTCTACATATAAATACACAATTTAATAGATGTTTATGGTAAAAACATTCACAAGTAAAAGAAGTTGTCAGAATGCACAGATATTTCTTAAATAAAATTGTGATTATGTTATGTCCAAGGTCATAAAAGTGCAGTCATTTTTTTCAAATTTAAAATTTGTACAAATTGATCAGTCATACTAAACTTTATGCATGCTTGAGTTCATGTTATAATTCATATAATTTGAGAATTCAGAATACTTTAATATCACCTTTAGACTCTTTTTTTATGACAAGTTAATGGCTATACATATTTCATGGTTGAAGACTTGAGTTTTATGTAAACAATCTTTATCTGTAGAAACTATGACAACTTCTTCATAAAAGCCCAGAAAGTAAGAAGACTGATTGCTGAGGACTTTAGAAATGTGTTTAAGGGAGGGGTGGATATACTCCTGACCCCCACCACCCTGACCGAGGCCCCGACATATACCTGGTTTACGGAGGAGGACAATCGCACCAGGGCAGAGGAGCAGGATGTCTTCACTCAACCTATCAACATGGCAGGTCTGTACAGGAAGAAGCAGGGCTTTAGTTCATTATTATGACAAGTTATATATTTTACAGCTTTTAACAGCTGAGGAATTTTTATTTATGACTTTTGTATATCTTGCTTTGAAAAGTAACTGTCCATCTTTTATTTTCTTCTTTCCTGTAATTATAGATTTATAGGTAAAATATACACTATTTGAAGTTGAATTTCAATAATTTTACATCTTTGGCCATAATTTCCTACAATTTATTTATAAGCTTTTAAAGTGATGCACTTTATATACTCACCGTGACTAATTATAGGTAAATTTATTAAGTATTCACTCCCTTTGTGTACAGGTGTTCCAGCTATTACTGTGCCAGCCTCACTTTCACATTCAGGACTTCCCATTGGTCTTCAGTTTGTTGGACCCAACTTTCATGACAGACAAGTGTTGACTGTGGCCAAGTGGTTTGAACAACAAACAAACTTTAAACAGTTAGATCTAAGTTATTTAGAGAAATCTTGATGAAAATATTAAATAAAAGAAATTTTGCTATTTACACAAGTTTTCTAATTTAATGATGAGCTGTGCTTTTGAGACAGATTGACTTTCATGTTAGCTGGTGTAGTATTTGTTAAAAGTTAACAATTTACAAAAATCTACCTCTGGAATCTAAGAAGTGTATAATGATACAGAAAATGATATTACATACAAGAGAGACTGATCTGTTTCTTATTCAAAGGACTTTAATGGAAAAAAAGTCTCTAACAATGCTCTATCTACACATGCCTTACCAATATTGCAGCATCCTGGAGCCATATTTCAGTTTGACAATACACAGCCGCATATGGCTTCTTTGACAATAGCATTCTTGCAAGCCACAGCAACCTGTTCCTTTGCCTTCTACGGTAAATTGCCATAGTTACATGTAAACCAATTGAGGATGCTTTGGACAAAATGGTTAGCATGATTTGTCAGACAATTGCATCTCCAGACTACGCAACAGATGATGAAAGCTCTACATTTAGGTGGGATAGCATTCCTAAACAGTTTTTAATAAACCTAGGTTTCATTAAATGCCGTTTAAGGTGAACATTGGTGTCTGTGGGACGCACACCAGACATTGACCTTTAATGACATTGAAATGATTTTAGAATTCTTGAGTAGTAGTTATGACATTTAGATTGTAGACATTTATATATTCTCATATATATATGATATTGAATTTTAGACATATATGTCTATATTTATGTCGCCCCGAATGAAGTCGGGGACGACATATTGATATTGTACGCATGTTTTTTTTATCCAGGCTGTTTCTCGGAGATGGCTGGGGCAATCTTCCTGAAACTTTCCTCAAAGGACGATCACTGGTTGTAGTTGTGCAGTGAGGTCGTTCAGTTCCAATATGTCTACCGTTGCCATGGAAACCTGTAAAAAGCGACGAATTTTGTCCACGAGTGTTCTCTCTGGTCCCTTAAACGTTCGTCATGAAACTCTTTTTATTTTAATGATTAGTATCTGTAGTTGTGTGATTTGCATTTAAAATTTTCAAATAATCGATTATTGCCATGGAAACCAGGGGAATGTTAAAATTCTTTAATTTCGATTCCTCAATAACTACTCAAGCAATCGTTTTGAAACTTTCAATGTTAATTCCTTGCAATGTGTCAAAGTGATTTCTACTTTTAAAATAATTGTAATGTGTCGCTCACAGTTGTCATAGAAACGAAACAGAAAAAAAGGTTAAGATGTACACATGTGTTCTCCAAGGTCTAGGTCAAAGGGTCAAAGTTCTTCGTGTCCAATAAAAGTTCTTTTCACAAGGATTACATATTTGAAATACGAAAGCCCTAACCCTTACCGTTCAAACGTAAGGTACTATGTTCAAGACGACCCCCCCCCTTTTGAAGCGCACTGCCAGGTAGAATACACAGATATAACATATACAACTTACAAGTAACGTTTTAAAAGTTTCATTCATAAAATTCAGTTCTCCTGATGTGATTTGATAGTTTGCCAACATTCATTCTTCTTCTGTCTTGTCTCTAGATTTTATAATTATTTTATTTTATCTATATAAAAAAATAACGATTGTCAACAGCATTTATTAGCATTTCGCGTTTTTTGTATATCTATTACTTGTATATTATTATTTTCATTAGATAGTGCAAGTATAAATTAGAAAATTGGTACGTTATTTCCATAGTTTTTATTCATTCATAAATCCTTGGATCCGCTCCTACAGGTGCGCTAAGCCTTGATCACTACTGTAAACAAAACATTCATCTCGCCGAAAATGTTCATGATTCCGCTAAACTGAGAAAGTTTTCACATGATTTATCATCTCATAAGAAACATCAGCCCTGTACAATGCAGAAATGCTCGAATTGAAGGTGGCATGTCAGATTCGTTTTCCAGCAGAACCTCTAAAAATGAAAGTGAAAGTAGGGAAATTTCAGAGTTCTCACTAGTTGTTATAATACACAAAATAATTCGGCTGATCTTCTTAATAAATTACATTTGCCAAGCTTTTTTGGTAGGAAAGATACTGCCAATTAACAAGTATGAGGCTCATTCAGTACATATGCCCAATTTCTTTTATGCAAGTCTGCAAATTTAGGAACTTGTAATTTTTTCCTGCACTACTTTCTTCTCCTACCAATTCTAAAAATAATTAGTGGGATGTACCCAATTAAGGTCTTCCGTTTCCAACAGAAAGGACTGATACGACTCGATGGTTGTCCAAGCTTAGCTAATGGACCATTGTTTTAGTGATGATAAAAATGAAAATCTTGTCCAGTACGGGGCGACATATGCTATTGCTTGCAATAGCAGACTTTCTAGTTTTGTTTCTTGTTACGACGTTTCATAACAACACCTTGGTAGAGACTTTTCCACAACCATTTTAAAACGTTGGACACTTTTACATGCAAAAATTTTTTTTTATCTTGAAACGTTTTGTTATCCTGAACACATGCTTATTTATAAAATTAACCATCACATCAATAGTTGTCTTCTTTATTATACCCCCCGCAAACGAAGTTTAGGGGGGATATATTAGAATCACCATGTCCGTCTGTCTGTAGACGAGATTTTGTCCAGACCATTACTCAGAAACTATTGGAAGGATTTGTCTGAAAATTTGTACACATATTATTCACCATATGAAGGTGTGCACCTGATATTTTCATCTTGATTGGATGATTATTTTGAATTTTACAGGTGTTTTTTCATTTTTATTTTGTGGTTTTGTGCAGATTGTTTCTCAGAAACGATTAAAAGGATTTTTTTTAAATTTGTACACTTATTATTGACCATATGAAGGTGTGCACCAATTTTCAACTTTATTCATTTTTCTGCATTTTACAGGTTTTATTTTTTATTTAATTGACATGTTCATTTTGGGCTCATGTATAAGGTTTGAGACATAGAATCTAAAATATCTGTACAAAAATGTGAACTACAGCTTAAACTACTCATTAAAGCTAAAAAAAGACACATCATCAAGTGTTAAAAACAGTTTTTACATTGCACAGAAGATAATGTAATTTCATTTGTCTCTTGGGAATAATGACTGGACATGCATCCAGTTAAAGATAAATTAATGAGTTTGGTGTAGGAAGTTGTTTAGGCATCTCTTACAACGTATCAAGCATGTTATCTATATCTCCTGGGAATTCGGCTGCTGGCACAAGAATTAAAGATCTCTCTTCTCTAATTCTCTTAATTATAATTTATTGTCTGTCAAAGCACTTCATTACTGGATGACAAGCTCTTTATTTTCAAAATGAATTTGATATAAAGTTATCAAGATCAATTTGATTTTGTATAATATGATTTTTTTTCTTTCCACAATCAGTTTGCAGAGTGTCAGGACATATAATTGCAATATATTTTTAGCTCACCTGACCCGAAGGCTCAATTGAGCTTTTCTGATCACATTTTGCCCATCCGTAAGTCTGTAAACTTTTTCACATTTTCGACTTCTATTTTAGAAGCCCTGGGCCAATTTTTACCAAACTTATTACAAAGCATCCTTGGGTGAATGGGAATTTAAATTGTTAAAATGAAGGGCCAAGTTTCTTTACAAGGGGAGATAATCAAGAAAAGCCAAAAATAGGGTGGGGTCACTAAAAAATCTTCTCAAGAACCACTCGGCTAGGAAAACTGAAACTTATGTAGAAGCATCATTGGGTAGTGTAGATATTAAATTGTTAAAACGATGACCCCCGGGGGTAGGGCGGGGCCACTATAGGGAATCCAAGTTTTACATAGAAATACATTGAACAAATCTTTAAAAAACTTCTTCTCAAGTACCACTGGGCCAGAAATGCTGAAACTTATGTGGAAGCATCCTTGGGTAGTGTAGATATAAAATTGTTAAAATCATGACCCCTGGAGAAGGGCAGGGCCACAATAGGGAATCCAAGTTTTACATAGAAATACATAGAACAAATCTTTAAAAATCTTCTTCTCAAGAACCACTGGGCCAGGAAAGCTGAAACTTATGTGTAAGCATCCTTATGTAGTGTAGATATTAAATTGTTAAAATCATGACCCCCGGGGGTAGGGCGGGGCCACAATAGGGAATCCAAGTTGTACATAGAAATATATGGAACAAAACTTTAAAAAAAAATCTTCTCAAGAACCACTGGGCCAGGAAAGCTGAAACTTATGTGGAAGCATCCTTGGGTAGTGTAGATATTAAATTATAAAAATCACGACCCCCAGGGGTAGGGTGGGGCCACAATAGGGAATCCAAATTTTGCATATAAATATATAGAACAAATCTTTAAAAATCCTCTTCTCAAGAACCACTGGGCCAAGAAAGCTGAAACTTATGTGGAAGCATCCTTGGGTAGTGTAGATATTAAATTCTTAAAATCACGACCCCCGGGGGTAGGGCGGGTCCACAATAGGGAATCCAAGTTTTACATAGAAATATATAGAACAAATCTTTAAAAATCCTCCTCTCAAGAACTGCTGGGCCAGGAAAGCTGAAACTTATGTGGAAGCATCCTTGTGTAGTGTAGATATGAAATTATTAAAATCATGACCCCCGGGGGTAGGGCGGGGCCACAATAGGGAATCCAAGTTTTACATAGAAATATATAGAACAAATCTTTTAAAAAAATCTTCTCAAGAACCGCTGGGCCAGGAAAGCTGAAACATATGTGGAAGCATATTTAGGTAATGTTAATATGGATTCCAAATTTTACATAGAAATATCTAGAACAAATCTTTAAAAAGCTTCTTCTCAAGAATCACTAGTACTGGGCCATGACCCCCGGGGGTAGGGCGGGGCCACAATAGGGAATCCAAGTTTTACATAGAAATATATAGAACAAATCTTTTAAAAATCCTCTTCTCAAGAACCACTGGGCCAGGAAAGCTGAAACATATGTGGAAGCATTATTGGATAGTGTAGATATTAAATTGTTAAAATCATGACCCCCAGAGGTAGGGCAGGGCCACAATAGGGAACCAAAGTTTTACACAGAAATATATAGAACAAATCTTTAAAAAGCTTCTTCTCAAGAATCACTAGTACTGGGCCAGGAAAGCTGAAACTTATGTGGAAGCATCCTTTGGTAGTGCAGATATTAAATTGTTAAAATCATGACCCCCAGGGGTAGGGCGGGGCCACAATAGGGAATCCAAGTTTTACATTGAAATATATAGAACAAATCTTAAAAAATCTTCTTCTAAGAAACCACTGGGCCAGGATAGCTGAAACTTATGTGGAAGCATCTTTGGGTAGTGTAGATATTAAATTGTTAAAATCATGACCCCCAGGGTTTGGACAGGGCCACAATAGGGAATCCAAATTTTACATAGAAATATATAGAACAAATCTAAAATCTTCTTCTCTAGAATCACTAGTACTGGGCCAGGAAAGCTGAAACTTATGTGGAAGCATCCTTGTGTAGTGTAGATATGAAATTATTAAAATCATGACCCCCGGGGGTAGGGCGGGGCCACAATAGGGAATCCAAGTTTTACATAGAAATATATAGAACAAATCTTTTAAAAAAATCTTCTCAAGAACCGCTGGGCCAGGAAAGCTGAAACATATGTGGAAGCATATTTAGGTAATGTTAATATGGATTCCAAATTTTACATAGAAATATCTAGAACAAATCTTTAAAAATCCTCTTCTCAAGAACCACTGGGCCAGGAAAGCTGAAACTTATGTGGAAGCATCCTTGGATAGTGTAGATATTAAATTGTTAAAATCATGACCCCCAGGGTTTGGACAGGGCCACAATAGGGAATCCAAGTTTTACATAGAAATATATAGAACAAATCTTTAAAAAGCTTCTTCTCAAGAATCACTAGTACTGGGCCAGGAAAGCTGAAACTTATGTGGAAGCATCCTTTGGTAGTGCAGATATTAAATTGTTAAAATCATGACCCCCAGGGGTAAGGCAGGGCCACAATAGGGAATCCAAGTTTTACATTGAAATATATAGAACAAATCTTTAAAAAAAATTTTCTCAAGAACCGCTGGGCCAGGAAAGCTGAAACTTATGTGGAAGCATCTTTGGGTAGTGTAAATATTAAATTGTTAAAATCATGACCCCCAGGGGTAGGACAGGGCCACAATAGGGAACCCAAATTTTACATAGAAATATATAGAACAAATCTAAAATCTTCTTCTCTAGAATCACTAGTACTGGGCCAGGAAAGCTGAAACTTATGTGGAAGCATCCTTGGGTAGTGCAGATATTAAACTGTTAAAATCATGACCCCCAGGGGTAGGGCGGGGCCACAATAGGGAATCCAAATTTTACATAGAAATATATAGAACAGATCTTCTAAAATCTTCTCAAGAACCACTGGGCCAGGAAAGCTGAGACTTATATGGGAGCATCCGTGGTAGCGTAGATTCTAAAGTTTTAAAATCATAAAAGGGAAGGGGGTAGTGGGGCATGATAGGTATAGCAAGAGGGGGAATCTGGTAAAGAACTGCATCACCCAAGTTACTCAGGTGAGCGATGTGGCCCATGGGCTTCTTGTTTTAAATAAATACAGAAATATTAAAAATATGTTACAATGTTATTACAATGTATTAGTATTGATGTTTTATTTGGTTGCACCTTTGTTTCATTCATTAAGAAATATAATGGGCAGTTATATTTTCACTGCAAATTTTTGTTAGAAAATTGTGAATACCTCTAGATCCATAAAGTATTTTTGAATTGGCACCTTCTCTGAAAACCCCAGCAGAGGGTATTTGTCCCAACTGGACAGTTCTAGTTGAAAATATTAAAAATGTAATTAGTTTTATTTAAATAATCTTTGAATATGATATATTTCATTTCAAGAAAGTTTCCATCCTGCAAAGGACGATCTTCCCTCGGCATCACTTTGTATGTAATGTGACGTCCCTGTTTGATGTGAAATGCGTGTTCTTAGGTAAACGTCATCGCCTGCGTTAACATGTGCCACGACTATTCCCGTCACTTCTGTTTCGAAACCTAATGTCTGGAGGTAAATAGAGCCAAATCCTTCGGTATTTATCATTAGTTCAACTGAATGGGCATCGTCCGTACCTGATCGAATTGTCCATGTAAAAACGTAGACACCCGACTCGGGAACCATAAATACCCCTGTTGTAGGATGATAAGCGTTTCCAATGTTGGTTTTTACAGTGTCAAAGACCAAAACATAGTGATCACTTGGAGAAAGTAATATGGCTGACATGTAGGCATAAAATGCAATGGCAGCGTTACTATGGACAGTGTTTGAGGTCAAAAGAAGACTTTCTGTAATAGAAAAAAGTTTAGATGAAGGATATGAAGATAACAAACAGTATTCAGTATCAAAGTCCATAAAACAATACAAAATAAGAGCAGAGCAAACACAGACCTCCGACACATCAGAAGTGGGATCAGGTGCCATGAAGGAGTGAGTATCCCCTGCTGACCGGTCAAACCCGCCGTGTGCTCCTTGTCATGACCGGGAAATAAGGGAAAAAATCCGTCGTCAATTCAGTTTATGAATAATGGACTAACAATTAGTATGAAAAACGTCAGTCAGCATTTTACTCAATGATAAATTGTATTTGCTGACAAGGTCATTGAATCGACCAAAGAACTTACAAAATGATGACTTTAAACGAGACTTGTTTCATCAACCTCGTTTTAAAAATTGTTCATACGTAGAGCATACTCTTGCGTATTGAATCAACTCAGATATATAAAAATTTATAGCATTTTTTGACATGATATCTGGTTTGATATTGTGTTTTGTAACTTGATTCACAATAAGGTATGATATATACCGGTACGATTAACAGTTACAATGTTAGCTAAAATTATTTTTCTTACTCTGAATTCTCCCAGTTATGTGGTTCTTTGTTGATTTTGAATTATGTTTTGCCCTATTTTCAGCGGCACAATTTCGTCCATCATTTGGTTTAGTATTTTTTGGCAAACATTCATTCTTCATATTTGTAAGGAGGTTTTCTAAATGATAGATGTGATTCTTGTTTTTCACATTACTTTTTTTAAGCATTGAAATATCTCGTTCTTGGGTCTTTGAAATATCCTTAAGTTCACGTGTACGAGTTTCCAAGGCGTATATTCTTCTTGCATACTGTTTCTTCATCCGGTCAAAATCTGCTTTATTTTCCAAAAGCTCAAGTTTAAGATTATCATACCGTTGTTGTTGAGTATGTTTAAAGTCCATCAACTCATCCACGGTCTTTTGAAGGGCTTTTAGTTTTTCCTCAACAGGATGAAGTCCATCATGCCCTTTAGCACATGTCCATGATGGTGAAAAAGAAATCATAAGAAATAATCTGAGGAATCTTCCCATGGTTCTTACATTTAATTTGATGTTCAGTTCTAGTGTAAATTGTTAAGTGAAGTCAAAGACACAGTCCTATAGTTGCAACGCTATCTTATCTTACGTCATATGTTTTCGTTCTCATTGAAATCTGACAGAGATCTAGACTATAACATTACACTACAGCTGTATATACCTGTTTATACAAGAATTGCATAAGTAATGATGATATTGATACATGTATATAACAAGTCTTTGCCAGATTGCAGACGATCTGGCAGAAGTATCAGGGAACATCACCCACCTACAAGAAAAGCCTGATAGATTAAACTCATTTGCCAAACAAACTGGAAGTTGAGTACTTCATCTACCTTGGCAGTATCCTAAGTAAGGACGAGGGCACTGGTAAAGATATAAAATCACGACTCAGTAAATCACGTACAGCATTTGCCCAACTCCAGCCAATTTTGAAATCAAACAACTACAGTCTGAGAACCAAACTCAGTTCTCCTGTATGAGTCTGAATGCTGGCGTGTTGTTGACAGCGACATGAGAAAAGTAGAGGCATTCCACAACAACTGTGTTTGAAAAACCCACTGTAACTTCTGGCCAAACAAGATCTCCAATAGAGACCTGCACAAGAAAGGCAAAAGCAGGAGTATAACAACAGAAATCAAGCAAAGAAGAATGAGATGCCTAGGACACGTGATGAGAATGCCCAAGAGCAGGATATACCCAAAACAGCATTACATTGGACATCATCTGGAAAGAGGAAACGAGGTAGACCACAAACAACATGGAGAAGAACTATAACATCAGAGTTAGAGGAAATGGGCAACTCGTGGGGGCAGGCACAGTATGTGGCAAAGGATAGAGGAAGATGGAGACAGCTTGTTGAAGCCTTATATATGTCCCATCGGGGACGAATTAGAGGATAAGTAAAGTAAGTAAGTATATAACCAGTCTTTAAAATATCATGCCGTTGCATCAGTTTAATGAATTAATATTCTTAAGATTCAGGGAAATTCTTCGTAAATTATCAAACATCTATGTTTGTAAACATTGGAGCAGGCTCTTTTCTTTTACCGAGTGTGTTCGATTTATTAGCTTTCACGAACTCAAACTGAAAACTACTTTTGTCGACTAAGAGCTGAACGATCGAGACTAGTCAATAGAATGTGTCTGCCATTTTCGATCGAACTCTCACTATATCTGAGGTCATCTATATAAAGGGCCCGACTTAGTCACTTTTAAAGTGTAATGAGACGGACGCTATACAGCACTCGGTAGCGACAAAAATAATTGTAATACTTCTTTTAGTACAGGAAAGTAAGATATCAAAGAAACTTACTATAGTTGTACATGCAGGTAAGTGCAGTATACAAACAAACATAGATACACGTAACCGCATTTATGTCTTAATGCTTATATGCAAGATCTCCGAAGCTTTTTTTTTTTTTTTGCTAATTTTGTTCAAGTCAAATAAAACACTTTCATAGAGATGAATAATGTCATTTATTAAAATTACAGTATAAATGTGAACAATTTAACAAACAAGAAGGAGATCAGATTCACAAGATTTGATTATCAATTACGTAAAATATGATAATGTTTGATCCCCCAAAAATGACTAGAAAAAAAGTATCTGTAAGACAAGAAAATCAAAAATATCATATGAAAAAGTTAGCAAAAAGATGGCACATTAAATCAAAATAGGCCACACGATGTGATATGCAAGTCAATTGTAAACAAAAGTAATGCAAGAAAACCAGCCCGAACACTGGTTGCCATTCTACGCCGATACCCGTAACAGTACCACAGTCAGGTGTAACGAATGTAAAGAGAATATCCTACCGTTGATATCGTAGATAAAAATATCGAATGTAGCGTATGCCTATTAGCTTTCAGCCACTCGCGGCCAGGGTACGAGCCCACGACCTTTCGATCACGGAGCGAGTAGTCTAACGACAGAGCTACCTTGCCTGTGACGAGAAGTGTATTTTGCTGTTGAGAAATTCAAAATATGTTATTATGATAATGCCCCGAGTAACTCTTTATAACAGATAAGGCTAAATATAGTTCTTTTGCCATTCAGTTGTAAATTACCATTTGACAAAACTTCACGAACTAAAACAGTTTAGTAATCCCCTGTAGAAAACAATGCAGTTGATAGTACACTGTAACTGTAATATCTTATGCATTATATGTAGAACACATGTTTTTAAAGACAGATGATATAAATATAAACTTCAAATTTGAAAAAACAACAACTTGCGTCATGTTTATGTAAGTAAAATGAACAAGTTTAACCGTATATATTTAAATTTTTCATTCTAAGTTTTACAAAAACTGGATTTGAACAGACATAAATTTACATTTTACATAAATTTAAAAAGGTTTACAATTTTTTTTATATTTTAGAAATTTATTATTTGCATCATTTATAAAAGAAATAGGCCAAAAAATATAATATACAAATCCAGACATCCATTTTTTGTTTACATCATCTGTCCTAAATAACGTCTTTATTATTAAGGTACATTGATACTCTGATAAGAAAGATAACTCTTAATGATTTAAATGTCTATTATTCCTTTATAAATTTTTCAAGTTTAATTGCCTTTTTTGTCAAAATTTGCCCTGCAAACCATGCTATAATTGTTTGTATTTTATTCAGCATATACATTTGCTTTGGAAAATCATAAAAATTAAAGAAAAATTTCACATGAGTGAGCAGAGGGTTTATGAACCTTAAAACACTTTGTGAGGAGATAAAAATAGTGAGCACTTACAGTATCTGTTATACACTAAATCATGCATTGTAGCACGCACGCATTACAAATATTTGCTGGAGATAAAACTGGCATATTTTAATAGCTTTGGAAAAATAGTTAAGTAAATGGAAGTTTGATTTTCAGAAATCAGCTGATATCATATTCCTAGCTAGCCATGAAGAAATTGTTCGTCACAAGTTTTCTGTTACCATTTCTGACTTTTGGAGAACAAATTAACAGTCGTGAGGATGTAAATGCAAAATCAAATGTTCTTGAACACACTTTAAACGATCTAATGGATTTTGTCTACATTCAGAAAAAACGTAATGAAGATTTAGAATCCCGGATTCTACAGAACCAAAAAGAAATCGAGCAAATGAAGGACCGGTATAGTGGAACAATAAAAACTTTGGAAACTCGTATATGTAAAATTGAAGATATAACAAAGACTCAAGATCGTGATCTTACGATACGGAGAAAAAATACAGTAGGAGAAAAGAGGTTTATTGCCCATTTAAAACACCGAATTACAAATGTGGAAAAAGTCCATGTACCACAGTTTGAAAATCCATGTGACCCCGAAAATAGTTCCCATGTAAATGTTGCCAGTGTAAAAGCATTATCGATGGGTAATATCAACCCTGAGAGAATTCTGAGTAAGAGACATCTTAGAAGTGAGTGGAAAAAATAATTCATTAAAATTTTCTTCACTTGATATGATGATTGCATTGTCAAATGATATGACTGAACTTATCGGTAAAATCAAATTTATTTTTAATTTTAAAAATATTTGTTCACTTTGTTTTATAGGGCGATCTGTCACACAAAGATCAAATGAAACTGGTATTATTGCATTCTATGCATACATGTCTTCGATGGTTGGGAACCCTAGTACACGCCTAGTATTGGTCTTTGATGTAGTCCGAACCAACATTGGAAATGCATACCATGCTTCAACTGGGGTCTTTATTGTTCCCGAATCAGGAGTCTATGTGTTTACCTGGACATTTCGCTCAGGGAATGGTGATGGCCACTCAGTTCAACTAATGATAAATGCAGTAGAATATGGTTCTGTTTATCATCGCACACTAAGAGCCGTAGAAGCAGAAGAAACAGGAATAGTTGTTGCCCAGGTAACAACTGGAGATGATGTTTATGTGAGGATAAAATCCATATATCGTTTAGGGGAAGCACACTATATCCAAAGTGATTCGGATGGGAGAACATCTTTTGCAGGATGGAAGCTGTAAAGTAGATGTATGCCTGGATCAGTGAATAATTGATTGATTGTATATTGTTAAATTTTTAAATTCTAAAGCTACTCTCTTTTTCGAATTGCAAGGAAATTTTACACAAAAATACTTTCGTTGGTCGTTACATGTAGTATGGAAATTTATTGATGTCACTGCACATCCAGAATTTTGTAAAGCCGAAATGCACAATTATCCCGCTCTTGTATTTTTTTCATTTTAAGTGCTTAAATATTATTTACAAGAACATAATTTATTGCTTATTGATGGATCAGCCATTGCTCATAAAACTTAAGCAAGCTTAAGTGGCTTTCTTTTTCAGAAAGCTGTAATAATGTAGCCCTCTCCTTTTTTTCTCCCCAGGAAATATCAGTTTAAAAAAATCGCAGAGTGCTGCATTATTGCAGCTATTTTAGGTAGTTCAATCCTTAGGTTCTAAAAATCAACAGTTAAGTGATTGAAGTCGCCCTTGCAGTGATAAGAGCTGTTGCTTTAGAGTCATGTAGTATTAAGGAGATAATCCTTACGTCGCGGGTTCGAATTCCAATATGGGACATGGAGACTGGTCCTTCGGATGAGATCATATAGATGGAGTTCCCGTGTCCAGTAGGTGTGAGTGCGAAAAGACTCCTCACCGCTAAATGGCCCTAAGTGCCGACTATAGATAAAATTTTGCACCTTTGTACAAGCATGTGATGGCGTTTCCATATGGATGAATTTTTTTTAGACAACAAATATAAAATTGTGGTATAGTACTTTTGGGGATAATTTGATAGTTCGCCTTAACGAGGAATGTAAAGTTTTAAAATGTAAAATGAAAATAGATTTTATTACCAAAGGTTTGGTACATTGTTTCCAGTACGACGGCGTATTAGTGCCATTTTAACAATGTAGAATTTTTTTTTTAAATCGTTTGTACAATTTAATAAATCGTTTGTACAATTTGTTTGTTAAATCGTTTGTACAATTTATTAAATCGTTTGTACGATTTATTGAATCGTTTGTACGATTTAGTAACTCGTTTGTACGATTTAGTAAATCGTTTGTACGATTTAGTAAATCGTTTGTACGATTTAATAAATCGTTTTACAATTTAGAAAATCGTTTGTACGATTTCATAAATCGTTTGTACAATTTAATAAATCGTTTGTACAATTTGTTTGTTTAATCGTTTGTACGATTTATTAAATCGTTTGTACGATTTAATAAATCGTTTGTACGATTTATTAAATCGTTTGTACAATCTAATAAATCGTACAAACGATTCATTAAATCGTACAAACGATTTATTAAATTGTACAAACGATTTATTAAATCGTACAAACGATTTAAAAAAAAATTCTACATTGTTAAAATGGCACTAATACGCCGTCGTATTCCAGTATACTTCCAGAGAAAAAAAATAGATAAAACAAAATAAAACGGAATAAAAAAAATAACAACAAATATCGGGAAAAACTCAGCCATCAGGTCTCCTGAGTTACTTTGTATACCTGAAAAAAATATTCTGCGTAATACAATGTAATTCTGAAACGAAATAAAATGCATAATAAATAACGCACTTCTTTTTTTCAACATGAAATGAGATAAGAACATTTGACCGACTGTGCCAGTTTTCATTGACAGCTATATATGTAACATATGATGAATGTGGAACTGAGATAAGTGTTGATAATTTCGCAAAATATTCAGAACTTTATTTTGCATTGGCTTGTTAAGTAACAACGGTTTCAAACACTGAAAACAAAACAAGCATGCAAACATTGCTAATATTTTTTCTCCTATGTGCTCTTTTACCAGAAAGGAATTGTATCGAAAATAGCAACGGGGAAGAACATATTTTAGAAAATATTAATGTTCCTCCAAAAAACTTGAAAGATGAGAAGACGGACATGATGTACATCATAAAACAACAAAATAAAGATCTAGAACTCAAACGTGCCGAGGACAAAGAAGATTTTGAGCGGATTAAAAGCGAACTTTATAAAGCAATAAGCAGTCTAGACGCTCGCTTACTTACTTTTGAGGGTGTAATAGTGGACCAAAATCATGAAATTAATAGACTAAAACAGGAAAGGGAGGAAGACAGAGAGTATATCAATCGATTAGAAAAGCGCCTTACTCAGTTGGAATTTAAATTTGAAAAAAGTGATGAAGAAAGGAATTCTTCCTGTGAGAAGAAGGCTATAGAAGACATCAGATCAACTAACTTAAAGAACGTCAAGAGAATTCAGAGTAAGAAAGAAGATACTCGTAACCGTAATCTATTCTGTTAATTTATCCGTCGAAATATTATCGACTCGGCGTTTTCCTAGTACATGTATTAAGATAATCATTTAATAAACAATCACTATTTCGTAAAGTTAAAAAATAATGCATGCTTGCTTTATTTCTTTACAAAAGCAATGAATATACGAGGGTTGATCCTAAAGTCCGTGGAAATTCTTCATATTTTATCTATTTTTAAGTGAAATTGGTTGAAAATTACAAATGACAATATAGCTAGATACTTGTTGAATATTTTTAATAAAAATAAACATTTTAAATATTAATGATAGAAACTCTATGGCAGTTGCCATAGAAACGTGGGGGAGACGTGAATGCGTTTATTATCATTTTAATTCTTAATACGTGAAATGAGAAAACTGCCCTATGTGGTAAAAAAAACGAAAATTTTGTCATTATTTCGATTGTATGATCTTTTATAAACCTTTGTGTGAGAGTTTTACTGAGTTTACTGGTTATTTCGTTTATTAGTTGGTGATTTATTGTTCATCTTTAACTTGTTAGACAACGTCAAATTTCACTCAAGTCGGATGCTTTTTTTTTTTTTTGAAAATCCCGGGATCACTCTACATGTATCTTAAACGCGTATATTACTGACATAGGTTGGGATAAAATGCATTTAGTAACTGGTTTTCCAGTAGCATAAGAAATTTAAGAAATATAGAGCTTCCATAGACGTTGATTAAAGGTGTGGCCGCCTTTTGGATGCTCTGTTTTAAGTGTTTATCCCCCTAGACAAATTAAAAGCGTTAATGGACGTTGTCGGCTGACGTACTGTTCTTGACATTGCTACTGAAATTGGAACATCATATGGAAAGATGGGGAGTATTTTGAAATATGAGTGAAAAATGAAGATAAGTTGGTGCGAGAGGATACCCAGGCGTTTGTTGAGAGAAAAACAAGATGTGTTTGTGAAACACTGATGCCCCCGTATATGGCAACATATCGAAGATTAAACTTTTCTTAAATGCAAATTTAATTAATTGGTACCAAATGTAGGGTTTTCTCACTAGAAAACAATTGTGAGTTTTGAAAGTAAGCCAATTTTAAAGTTTTTTTTTCAATAAGTACAAAAATCTCCAAGGTCAATTTCAAAAGGTCAATATAATTTGGTATCAAATGAAAGGTCTTGCCACATAAAATACTTATGTAGAGCATGAAAGCCCTAGCCCTTAAAGTTCAAAAGTTATGGTTAAGGTTCAATTTTTTCAAAAGTAGGTCAAGCTCCAAGGTCAAGGTCAAAGGGTCAAAGTTCTTGTTATGAAATGAAAGGTCTTGTCACAAGGATTAAATATCTAAAGTATGAAAGCACTAGCTCTAACCCTTTAAAAGTTATGATCAAGGTTTGCTTATTTAAAGTAGGTCAATTTCAAAGGTCAAGGTCAAAGGGTCAAAATTCTTGGTATCCAATGAAGGGTCTTCTCACAAGAATTACATATATGAAGTATGAAAGCCCTATCCCTTACCGTTCAAAAGTTATGGCCAAGGTTAAAGTTTTTTCACAAGTACGGAAATCTAAAAGGTCAATGTCAAAGGGTCAAGGTTGTTGGTATCCAATGAAAGGTCTTTCAACAAATATAACATATGTCAAAAATAAATGTCCTGGTATCTACTGTTCAAAAGATATGGCCAAAGTAAAAGTTTAAAATTTTCATGTAAAAGTGGGTCAAACTCCAAGGTCAAGGTCAAAAGGTCAAATTTGGTGGTACTCAAAGAAAGGTCTTGTCACAAGAAATACACCTGTGAAATATGAAAGTCATAGCTCCACTAAATCAAAAGTTATGGGCAGGTTAAATTTTTTGAGGACAAACAGACAAACAGAGAGACAGAGAGACAGACAGAGAGATAGACAGCTAGACAGACAGACAGACAGACGGACACGACAAAAACTATATACCCCCGAACTTCGTTTACGGGGGCATAAAAAGGAGAAAAGGGAAACATTTTGTAGAATTACGTATTCGAATTGGACATAAGGATGAGATTCTTCTATAACGTGACTTAACATATCAAAATTGACGTAACCTCGAAGGCTTTCCCGGGTTTTACAACAATCCATTTCAGAAAGCTTGTGTGACCTTATTGGTGATTGGAAAGTTGTGGAATGTTCCTATATTGTTGCATTATGACTCTATATAAAAATATGCCTATTGTTTGCTTTCATCTAATCACAATAAAATTTTAGAGAGAAATTCCACGAACTTATCATCAACCCTCGCATATATATCGAGAGCATTTCTCTCTAAACTATAAATTTATATTTATATAATATATATACATGTACGTATTATAACAAAATTTACCTCATCAATTTATCCTACAGAAAGACTTCTCATCCCTCCAACAACTTCTCATAGCTCCATTGCATTTTATGCATACATGTCATCTATGATACCGTCACCAAATACACACCAGGTGCTTGTCTTTGATGATGTCAAAACTAATTTTGGAAACGCTTATCATCCATCGACTGGGCTTTTTATAGTTCCTGAATCGGGTGTTTACGTCTTTACATGGACATTTCGAACAAGTGGCGCCTATGATCATTCAATTCAGTTACTGATAAATAAAGACGTATTCGGTACCTTGTTTCGTAGGTCAGTTGATGGTCTAGACGCACAGGAGACGGGTATTGTTGTTGTCCACGTTAACGCTGGAGACGACGTTTACGTTAGAACACATGCTACACTTCCCTTAGGTACGTCGGACTACATCCGGAGCAGTTCTTATGGAAGAACGTCTTTTGCAGGCTGGAAACTTTTTTAAACTGTAGAGTTAATACTTCCGCCATTTTTATATGTCATTAAAGTCAAAATAAAACTTAAATCTTATTCTTACTGACCTGCCTATCTTTATTGTTCTTTAATTAATATGCCAAAGGAAAAAAAAAGGAAAAACGTTTGAAATATGTTGATAGTTGTTTATACTTGGTATGTAATTTCCCCTGCTTTTTTCCTGTATAGTTTATTCCTATTTTGTACTTTCCTCTGCTTCTTTCCTGTATTTAATACCGTGTGTTTAGTCTCCCTGCCTCATTTCTGTTGTTAATACTGGGTATGTAGTTTCCCTGCTTCTTTTCTGTAATTAAAACTAGGTATGTAGTTTCCCTGCTTCTTTTCGGTAATTAATACTGGGTTTGTAGTTTCCCTGCCTCATTCCTGTAGTTATACTGGGTTTTAGTTTCCTTCTTCATTGCTGTAGTTAATACCGGGTATGTAGTTTCCATGCTTCTTTGCTGCAGTTAATACTCGGCAATGTCATATAGTTTCCCTGCTTCTTTTCTGTAGTTATACCGGGTATTTAGTTTCCTTCTTCTTTGCTGTAGTTAATAATTGGTATGTTGTTTCCCATGCTTTTTTCCATAGTTAATACCTCGTATGTAGTTTCCCTGCTTCTTTTCTGTAGTTAAAACCGGCTATGTAAATTCCCTGTCTCATTCCTGTAGTTATACCAGGTATTTATTTTCCTTCTTCTTTGCTGTAGTTAATACCTCGTATGTAGTTTCCTTGCTTCTTTATGTAGTAAATACCGGGTATTTAGTTTCCTCCTTCTTTGCTGTAGTTAATACCGGGAATGTATGTTCCCTGGCTCTTTTCTGTAGTTAATACCATGTATGTAGTTTCCTTGCTTTTTTCTGTAGTTAATACCGGGTCTGTAAGTTCCCTTCTTCTTTTATGTAGTAAATATTGGGTATGTGTTTTCCCTGCTTCTTTTCTGTAGTTAATACCGGGTATGTAGTTTCACTGCTTCTTTCCTGTAGTTAATACCGCGTATGTAGTTTTCCCTGCTTCTTTTCTGTAGTTAATACCATGTTTGTAGTTTCCTGCTTTTTTCTGTAGTTAATACCGGGTATGTAGGTTCCCTGCTTCTTTTCTGTAGTTAATACCGGGTATGTAGTTTTCCCTGCTTCTTTCCTGTAGTTAAATGTAGTTTCCCAAGGTCTGCTTCTTTCCAGTAGTTAATACTGGATGTATGTAATTTATGTGATTTATGTATTGTATGTAATTTCCCTGCTTCTTTTCTGTAGCTAAAACCGGGTATGTAGTTTCTTTGCTTCTTTCCTGTTAATTTTATTCCGATTTTGTAGTTTCCCAGCTTCTTTCAGGTAGTTAATACCGGGAATGTAGTTTCTCATCTTCTTTTCTGTATTAGATACCGGGTATGTAGTTTCTCTGCTTCTTTCCCTTCGTATTGCAAAATGGGCAGTATACTCTTTATGGTGATCTTTTGACGGCGATATGTGTTTTTTAGACGTCAGTGACGAAAACATTTGGTTACCCGCATGGTACAGTGGTAGAGTGTTTACTCTTGAGAATGGCATTAAGGAAGGGCCCTTGGGGTCATCCTTACGCCGCGGATTCGAATCCTACTGCAACTCATGGAGACTGATAAATCAAGGTTTTGTGTAGCACATGCATGCTAAAACATTCCTACTTTTTGGCCGGAAGAGACAAGTACTGGCCTGAATTTGCAGCCCTCCCAAACACAAACAGGAACTCTAGGTTTATGTTACATAAATGTAAAGAAATGAAGACTCTTTATCCATTATCAAATTCCATAATACTTTTCTTCTAGACGCTTTGGTAAGAAGAATTTGAATATTTTTAAAATCATTCTTCATATATGGCCATTGTATCCCGATCAAATGGCCCGAATCCAGGGGCATGGATTTGGGTAAATAACTATAGCTGCTTAATATCACCCTACTGTTTGCCTGCTGGACGTCCACGGGTTAAAAAGCGTATTGTTTACTAGTATTAATTTTTGACTATAACTTGCACCCATCATTCGACCCTAACCTGAACCCAAACCTTTTAACCAAGAAAACCGCAATAGGTGTTGTTTGATATATTTGAAACATTGATGGTAAAATACTCGAAAAAGAAGTTCGATATACATTTTTTCATGGCGTATTTACATGTAGAAATATTGGATGCATAATCTTTCTTGGTCTCTGACCAGTAAAGCTAAATAATAAAAAAAAAAAACAACTAAATGTCAGAGAAAACTATCATTGTCCTGTTTTTTGTTTTTACATGTAATTCAGAGAAATACTACATTATAATTAAATTATTTTATCCAAAGCAAAATAACTTTATACCTGTATTACGAAAAACAATATCATTCATTTTCATGAACACTTTTCAGTAGCGTCAAAAATACAGAAAAGTGAATCTATTAATAAAATTAGTGTGTCCAGAATAAGCGTAGTTACATAGTTTTTTATTTCACAAAAATTGGAATTTTATTCCAATAAAATTTCACATGTTTAGAGTTTATTAATCCCTTGCCGAACATCGGAGCAAAGGGGATATCAGTGCCCTTTACATACAGGGCACACATTTTAAAAGGGCAGGGGGATTCCCGCCATGCGTAACGGTACCCCATGACGTATTTGTTGGAGCATGTGCCGTTATAGGAGACGGTTATTTTGTGAGGTTCCTCCTTTATGATGGGAGTTTCCATCCACACTGAATCTGTTCCATCACATTTTGACTGGTTATTGGTAGAACAACAAAGCTACAAAATATGATAAATTTTGTATCTTGCGAGACAAAGCTTAAATTTGAATCTACGGGTTATTGCTTTGAACCTTTTCTATTAGTAATATAATGCAAAAGTAAACTCTCGTTTTACTTTTATTATATATATACAAATGTCATGTAAGGGGTGTTAAGAAAGATCGTTCCGGGATGAAATATTTTCAAAAATTTCAAAGTAGTGCTTTACTAAAGAGATGAATTTTCAAGTCTGACAAAATCACAAGAGTGTGCTTTAGATTTATAGCAATTCATTTCTAGCAGAAAATTATAGAATTTTTCTTCCATATGAAAAAATATATAATATCTTTAAAGCACCCGAATGATAGAAATGCAAGTCATTTTGAGTGAAAATAAAGGATAATTTACTTTTTTTTTCTTCATAGCTTATTTGTATCAGACAAGCTGAGGAGCGTAGGTATAAGAACGAAATATCACTTTTCAAAAGAATAGGTTTGTCATTTTGAAATATTTCACAGATTTGACAATTTTTGAATAGTATTTGAAAGGATGTTTTGACCTGTATGCCTACCATATCTCACAAATGTGCGTCATCCCTGATTTTTCTGAACAAACATCATCTGTTTTAATACCTGCCCTCCCTTTATTGATTCAACAAAAGATAGTTAAAACCTTATCAGTAGCAAGAATGGACTCTGTAAACATGAAATATCACAAATTGTAAACATCTTCTCATCGTATTTCTTTTTGAAAATAAAATTAAAATGTGGAACGAACTTTCTTAACACCCTTTATGTCTTGAAGGCCTCATTTTTTGTAACAAGAACATTGGCTTATTAAGGTATTAAGTAAATGACAAATATGTAAGAAAAATTAAAATAAAATTATCGACAGATATCTTGCACCGATGAAAAAAGAAATTACTCTAAAGCAACCTTTGTAAAAGAACTTTCCCATTTTTAAGCCTACCTCAAATCCAGCCTTTGACCTGACTTCTATTTCCACTGCATTATCAAACTCAAAACCGATAGTAAAAAATCCAATCTCTGCGTAAAAGGCCGTAATGTTAGGTCCCTGGAATGGACCTACTTGCATGTTATAAGCAACAGACAGACCAGCCAAAGCAAGGCGATGACACACGTCCTCTTTGTCTCGCGGATGAACACTAAACCAAAACAATTAACAAAATCATAGGAATTGATAACTCATAATTAAATTAAATTTTTATGAACGAAAAATATTGGAAATACAACAAATCAAAATTGTAAAAGAAAAACAAATGTTCCGAAAAATAGTAACAACCTTTGTTTAAAAAAGATATTTGAACGAAATAAGAGGAAGAATTTTGGTCCATTTTTATTAATAACATTGTTTAATGTCATCATTTCGTTAGTTCTTTGGTGGATACAATGACCTTGTCAGCGAAACATATGGAGATAACGGACAGTATTCAAGATCAATAGTCTATTAAACAATACTAAATAGGAGCAGAGTAAACACGGAAATACAGCAAATGCAATACATCATTACTTCGAATGCTGACTGGTGTTTTTTCATACCAGTTGTTTGACTTAAATATTATGAAAATCAACGGATTTTTCTGTTTGTCTGAATACAAGGAAATTTTGATCATAAATGGATGTCACTGCTAGAAAGGGAGTGATTACTTTTCCATGGAACCTGTTCCAACCACTGATATCGATGTTTGTTGGGGTTCTTGTTTGCTCTGCTCCCGAAATGTAATGTTTAAATTGACCTATCTTGATTACTTTTCATTATCTCCATATTTTATTATAAGAATGAAGCATACGGAGATTAACAGTATTCAAGATAAAAAGTCCCTAAAACAATACAAAATAGGAGCAGAGCAAACACGGACCTCCAAAACATCGGAAGTGGGATAAGTTGCCATGGAGGATTGGGCATCCCCTGCCAACTTGTCATACCCGCCGTGTGCTCCTTGTCATGATTGGGAAATAATGGAAAAATCCGTCGTCAATTCAGTGTAAATAATAAACTAACAATTAGTATGAAAAACCTCAATCAGCATTTGACTCAATGATAAATTGTATTTGTTGACAAGGTCATTGTATCGACCATAGAACTTACGAAATGATGACTTTAAACGAAACTGCTGAAATTCTTATTTCATCAACTTGTTTGTAAATAATTGACTCGTTTTAGAAACTGTTCATACGTAGAGCATGTTCTTGCTTATCGAATCAACTGAGATAATATAACCTCGGTATCCAGGTGATGAAGGTATACTGCTGCATAAGTTGGGGAATTAAGTTGACGATAGAAAAGTTAAAGTCATCACGTTTATCATAGAGCTCGGTTGTTAGATAACCATTAACATCTTTTTCAAGCATATCCAAATATAAAACAGATGTGTCAAACAATGTTCCCCTTTTTGTTTTACATGTATTTAAGATTTGATGATACGTTTTCTATCTTAGAAAGAAATCCACATTTGCACTTTCGAAGTTTTCTTTGAGGGGATCCTTTAAGCAGGTAAGAAAAAACTTTTCTTAGTGTAACTTATATTATCATCATTTGTATATTGCATTTAAATAATCTAATTATATATATATATATATATATATATATATATATATATATATATATATATATATATATATATATATATATATATATATATATATATATATATATATATATATATATATATATATATATATATATATATATATATATATATATATATATATATATATATATATAAGCACTAAAAATGACCAACGACACGAACAATAAAAATTGTCAAATTTTCGGGACGCCCTGTCCCTTCCTCAGGACAAAGAAAAAAGTTAAAAAGTCATAAGAACAAAGGAAAAAGAGAAACAAAAACAACTAGCACTACTACTAAACTACTAAACACTAGATATTTACATACTTAATTACATGTTGAGTTGGAAATTTTTAAGAACACTAATAAAGAAAGAAATCCGGAGCGCTATGAAATGCGTCCGGTCTCTTGCGTATACTCGGGTGAAGTGCGATTTACATAATTGAACGAATTAATTATGCTAACTGATTACAACAATCAGTAAATCGTACATTGTTTCATTCTCTCAAAATGGCGTAACTTTACTTAATAAAGAATAATCAAAGAAAAATAATATAACAGGGATATTTAAACATATGAATTATGATCAATTATTAATTTTGAAATATTTAAGGACTTATTACCGGGAAAAAATAATTAACAAAGGCGTAAGCAATACATAGTTATGTGGGTTGTTCGAGAGTTGGTGATGCAAATTAACTGTAGAGTTTACACTGGATTGAGAGAATAATCTTGTTTAGTATTATCAGGAATTGGGTCTAGTTTACGTTCATTCTGGTGAAGTCATTCAGTTTGTTAATACCATTAGGGCGGAATGACTTCAATCTGTGCATCCAGAACTTTTCTTTGCTTTTTCTCTGAGCATCTGTCCATCTTGGGTTATGGTCAATCACCACTACTGTCATGTCCTCCCATTTGTGACCCTCAAAGTTGAAATGTTCCCCAACGGGTTCATTGAGTTTTTTGGTCCTAATGGTTGAACGGTGGTTATTGACTCTCCTGCGGAGATCTCCTGTTTCACCAATATACTGTTTGGAGCAAACTTTGCAACTGATGAGATAAATGCAGTTGTCAGTATGACAGGACAAATTCCCTAGTATTTTGTAGCTGCGGCCTGTAACAGGGCTGTTAAAACTGTCTGTGTCAGTGCTGTGCTTACAAAGAAGACATCTTCTGTCAGAGCAAGTTTTAAAGCCCCCGTTAGGTAATGGGTTGTCAAGTCTGGTTCTTACTACCATGTCCTTCAGGTTCCTTGGGCGTCTGTATGCAGCCAATGGGGGGTCCTTAAAGACCTCTGCCATTCGTTTGTTTGAATGGAGAATTGGTAGGTTCTTTTGAAGGATACCGCTAAGGTTCTTAAGGACGGGATGGTATGTGGTTACCAGAGGGACCCTGCCGCTATTGTCTTTCTCCTTGTAGCGTAATAGGTTTTGCCTGTCATGTCCCGCCATCTCATCAATAGCTGTTTGTACGGTGCGGGCATTGTAGCCTCTTTTGCATAAGTGGGACTTAAGAAGACCGCTTTGCTCCTGATATAAGGCAGGGGACGAACAGATGCGTCGAATTCTGGTGGCTAGACCCTTAGGCACTCCCTTAAAAGTGTGTGGGGGATGACAACTAGAGGGCATAAGATATAGGTGGGAGTCGGTGGGTTTGGTGTGGAGACTGAAGTCGATTTCACCATCAATCAGGGTAGATGTTGTATCTAAGAATACGTTTTTCGAATTAGATACGTCTACTGTAAATTTGATCGACTGATGAAAGGAGTTGGCAAACGTAATGAATGCCTCGAGGCTCTCGCGACATTCCACCCACTTCATCTCTATATCGTCAATGAAACGCAACCAGCTATGGGGCCTAAATGGTGCTTGAAGTAACAAGTTGTGTTCCAGTCTGCCCATGAAGACATTGGCATAAGACGGTGCCATTTTTGTACCCATAGCAGTGCCATTAACCTGCAGGTAATGTTCTCCATTAAACATGAAGTTATTGAACTTGAGAACATGTTCCTTCTACAGAGTCCCTTGCTAAGCTCCTTGAACATGTTCTCAAGTTCAATAACTTCATGTTTAATGGAGAACATTACCTGCAGGTTAATGGCACTGCTATGGGTACAAAAATGGCACCGTCTTATGCCAATGTCTTCATGGGCAGACTGGAACACAACTTGTTACTTCAAGCACCATTTAGGCCCCATAGCTGGTTGCGTTTCATTGACGATATAGAGATGAAGTGGGTGGAATGTCGCGAGAGCCTCGAGGCATTCATTACGTTTGCCAACTCCTTTCATCAGTCGATCAAATTTACAGTAGACGTATCTAATTCGAAAAACGTATTCTTAGATACAACATCTACCCTGATTGATGGTGAAATCGAATTCAGTCTCCACACCAAACCCACCGACTCCCACCTATATCTTATGCCCTCTAGTTGTCATCCCCCACACACTTTTAAGGGAGTGCCTAAGGGTCTAGCCACCAGAATTCGACGCATCTGTTCGTCCCCTGCCTTATATCAGGAGCAAAGTGGTCTTCTTAAGTCCCACTTATGCAAAAGATGCTACAATGCCCGCACCATACAAACAGCTATTGATGAGATGGCGGGACATGACAGGCAAAACCTATTACGCTACAAGGAGAAAGACAATAGCGGCAGGGTCCCTCTGGTAACCACATACCATCCCGTCCTTAAGAACCTTAGCGGTATCCTTCAAAAGAACCTACCAATTCTCCATTCAAACAAAACGAATGGCAGAGGTCTTTAAGGACCCCCATTGGCTGCATACAGACGCCCAAGGAACCTGAAGGACATGGTAGTAAGAACCAGACTTGACAACCCATTACCTAACGGGGGCTTTAAAACTTGCTCTGACAGAAGATGTCTTCTTTGTAAGCACAGCACTGACACAGACAGTTTTAACAGCCCTGTACAGGCCGCAGCTACAAAATATAGGGAATTTGTCCTGTCATACTGACAACTGCATTTATCTCATCAGTTGCAAAGTTTGCTCCAAACAGTATATTGGTGAAACAGGAGATCTCCGCAGGAGAGTCAATAACCACCGTTCAACCATTAGGACCAAAAAACTCAATGAACCCGTTGGGGAACATTTCAACTTTGAGGGTCACAAATGGGAGGACATGACAGTAGTGGTGATTGACCATAACCCAAGATGGACAGATGCTCAGAGAAAAAGCAAAGAAAAGTTCTGGATGCACAGATTGAAGTCATTCCGCCTAATGGTATTAACAAACTGAATGACTTCACCAGAATGAACGTAAACTAGACCCAATTCCTGATAATACTAAACAAGATTATTCTCTCAATCCAGTGTAAACTCTACAGTTAATTTGCATCACCAACTCTCGAACAACCCACATAACTATGTATTGCTTACGCCTTTGTTAATTATTTTTTCCCGGTAATAAGTCCTTAAATATTTCAAAATTAATAATTGATCATAATTCATATGTTTAAATATCCCTGTTATATTATTTTTCTTTGATTATTCTTTATTAAGTAAAGTTACGCCATTTTGAGAGAATGAAACAATGTACGATTTACTGATTGTTGTAATCAGTTAGCATAATTAATTCGTTCAATTATGTAAATCGCACTTCACCCAAGTATACGCAAGAGACCGGACGCATTTCATAGCGCTCCGGATTTCTTTCTTTATTAGTGTTCTTAAAAATTTCCAACTCAACATGTAATTAAGTATGTAAATATCTAGTGTTTAGTAGTTTAGTAGTAGTGCTAGTTGTTTTTGTTTCTCTTTTTCCTTTGTTCTTATGACTTTTTAACTTTTTTCTTTGTCCTGAGGAAGGGACAGGGCGTCCCGAAAATTTGACAATTTTTATTGTTCGTGTCGTTGGTCATTTTTAGTGCTTTATATAAATTTCCATCCGTGACCTTGTATCTACTTGGTAGATCCGACATTTAGGATATACAGTGTTGTTGGTTTTTTAGTGCTTTATATATATATATATATATATATATATATATATATATATATATATATATATATATATATATATATATATATAGGTAAAATTAAAATAAAAAAGGCAACACAGATTAAAACTTTCATTACATCTTCAGACGTTTTACAAATGCATTCTTTATCCTGACTGCAATGTTTTACAAAACTATTAATACTTTAAAAATCATTATCTATAATTGAATCTGACAGCAAGCAATTAAATGCTTGCAGTTTGCTCACACCTTTGAAACCAAATCCGATATGTGTTTATAGTCTTAGCCGGAGAACATCGAAAGGTTACACTCTATGTGAAAGTTTTATCAGAAATCAAATTAAATCAAACTGTTAAGACTGGGATTAAATTTTTGAATGAAATATTTCTCTTTTTCTCTTCTTTCTGTTATATTGTCTTGAAAAAGTTTATAAAAAGGGAACACTTTAAATTGTCCTTGTCCGCATCTATCAATGTGTTCGCTGAGTTTGATCTTACGGTACTCAGGAACTTGAATATGCTGTTTATGCACGCGAATTCTGGCTCTCAATGTGGTCCCCGTTTCACCGATGTAGAATTGGTTGCATCCTCCGCAAGTAATAACATATATTAAATTTTTGGACTCACTTTTGGACTCATTCCGACCGATTGTTGGAGGACCCGAAGCACCTACCCAACGTCTCAGCAATCTACTAGATATAGTGCTGAAACCTCTCTGCCAACACGTTAAAAGTTTTGTTCGGGACGATTTAGATTTTTTACGACATCTACCTAAACAGGTCGATTTTAATACACAACTTGTAACTTTAGATGTAGTAAATCTGTACACCAATATAACCAGTACCTTAGGAATCAAGGCTTTAAATTTTTGGATTGAAAATTACAGAAATGAAATTGACAACCGGTTTACAAAAGAATTTTTACTGGAAGCCACCGAATTAGTTTTAAAGAACAATGTGTTTACTTTCAATGACAAATATTTTCATCAAGTGAAAGGTACAGCCATGGGTACCAAAATGGCCCCTACATATGCAACACTTACCCTTGGATACCTAGAAGAAGCACTATATGAAAAAGCTGGAAGCCACCGAATTAGTTTTAAAGAACAATGTGTTTACTTTCAATGACAAATATTTTCATCAAGTGAAAGGTACAGCCATGGGTACCAAAATGGCCCCTACATATGCAACACTTACCCTTGGATACCTAGAAGAAGCACTATATGAAAAAGCTAATGAACAGTTTGATGCAGAATTTTGCGAATATCTTAAGAGAAACTGGAAAAGATATCTGGATGATTGTTTTATTATATGGAAAAAAGATGATTCAGATTTGAACATTTTAAATGATATCTTAAATGAATTAAACCCAGATATTAAATTTACAATGGAAAAAAGTTTTACTCAATTACCATTTTTAGATGTCTTAATCTGTAAGGAAAACAACAAAATTGCAACAGATATATTTTATAAGAGTACTGACACTCATCAATATTTGCATTTTGGATCTTCCCACCCGCGACACATTAAAAGAGCAATACCTTACAACCTAGCCCGACGAATATGCACAATAGTAAGTAAGGAGGAAACCAGAAATCAACGCCTGGATGAATTGAAAATATATCTCACAGACCAACATTATCCTTTATGCTTAATCAACGACGGCATCAGAAAAGCAAAGGAATTAGACAGAGAAGAATTAATAAATCCAACTCCTAATGATGAGGAAAATATTAAAATATTACCACTAGTCACAACTTACAATCCTAAAAACCCAAATATTACACCTATCGTTCAAAATCTGAACGAAATTCTCAAAAAGGATGAAGAAATGTCAAATGTTCTTTCAAAATTCAAGTTTATAAACAGCAAAAGGCAGCCCAAAAACCTCAGAAGAATACTTTGTCCTTCCAAAATAACGAAATCTACAAAATCCGTGACAAAGTGTAAGGATCCGCGATGTGGCACATGTTCTGTTTTAAGAGAAGGAACATCATTTAATTTCAAAGGAAAAGATTTCTTTATTAATTCAGACATGACATGTGAGTCCAAAAATTTAATATATGTTATTACTTGCGGAGGATGCAACCAATTCTACATCGGTGAAACGGGGACCACATTGAGAGCCAGAATTCGCGTGCATAAACAGCATATTCAAGTTCCTGAGTACCGTAAGATCAAACTCAGCGAACACATTGATAGATGCGGACAAGGACAATTTAAAGTGTTCCCTTTTTATAAACTTTTTCAAGACAATATAACAGAAAGAAGAGAAAAAGAGAAATATTTCATTCAAAAATTTAATCCCAGTCTTAACAGTTTGATTTAATTTGATTTCTGATAAAACTTTCACATAGAGTGTAACCTTTCGATGTTCTCCGGCTAAGACTATAAACACATATCGGATTTGGTTTCAAAGGTGTGAGCAAACTGCAAGCATTTAATTGCTTGCTGTCAGATTCAATTATAGATAATGATTTTTAAAGTATTAATAGTTTTGTAAGACATTGCAGTCAGGATAAAGAATGCATTTGTAAAACGTCTGAAGATGTAATGAAAGCGCTAACGTTTTAATCTGTGTTGCCTTTTTAATTTTAATTTTACCTATATAAAAACCGGACACTGTGAAATTTTCAAATTTGGATATATATATATATATATATATATATATATATATATATATATATATATATATATATATATATATATATATATATATATATATATATATATATATATATATATATATAATCGTTGTCTTTAGTTTTCTCTATGCAAGTGTATTATTCCCTGTTTTAAAAAATTAAAAGTTTAAAACGATAATGACTCACTACCTTCCGTATGGTGACTTGTAGTCAGGTAGATCCATAGCTACAGACATGAACACATTCTGCATTCTGTAGTTAGGGACGTATCCATAGTCTGCTGTTTGGTGCCAGCGAATATCCGGGAATCCAGTTATCACAGAGGGATCATTACGATTGGGAGCGAGCTGAAAAGTTAACAAGTTAACATTGGTTAGATATTGCACACAAATTAGGGACGCACAAAAGTCAAAGAAATTTCTATAATAAATAGTTCCTTTAAATCATAATACGGAAAGTTGCATCTCTCAAGCATTGACTGGTTCCAAATATTTAAATATTTTTTTAAAAAAGTTTTTTAACTAGATTTTTATTAATGAAAAGTCAGCGTCTGGCAGATTTTTTTTTACAATAATAATTATCAAAATGTATAGAATTTAAAATTACAGAAATTAGTGTTATTATCCTGCAGTTAAACATTAATTTTGATATATCAGGAACCTTTACTTTGTCTTGTATATAAAATTTTATAAATTCAAGTAATAGAAGAAAACACTGGTGCTTGTTGAAATCGTGCTTCTCTACAAAATGCTCCTTTAGTCTATAAAATGAATTTTAATATGCGAGGAATGAAAATCAAGAAATTAAATTAAATCAAAAGAATAATCATATTTAGTTTACAGAGACTTTATCACCACTACTTACCGGTGGAAATAAATAAGTTGCAAATTTTTCAGATGTGGACACTAACCTGTACAAAACCGAACGGAAAATTTGCGGGTGTTCCTGAAGCGACATTAAATTTCTTTCTCCAGTCGTCAATCATCGTAGGAAAATAACATTTGTATTTGTCTGGTTTGCCAGCGTTTGCCTCTCCTTAAACATAGAAAAACAGTTCTCGTCGACAAAAATACAAACTACGACTATCATATGCAAGCTTAATTCAAAGCGTGAAAACAATTTGAATACAGTTCTTTATATTTATGAACGTTTCCTAAAAAATATTTCTTTTTTCAAATAGAATAAAGACGAAATTTAAATGACAGGATGTTTTTTTCTATTTCTTCATGACGTATTATCGTATACATAAGTTACTAACTTTTTAAAAAAATAAATCCTCTCAAATTAAGTATAATATTTGCATTTTTGAAAAGTTGAAAGACCATTGCTACGAACCTTGATAGTTTTGTGTGTGTGTGTGAGAAAGTTGTGCCAGTTTTCATATCTCCATCTGTTATACAAAAGTAAAAGCTGTCCAACTTTGTTGACTTCTTAAGGTGTTTTATTCTAAATCTGATATTCCATTTATTTTTGCTGCTCGTTTCGTGTTTTACACCTATCCATGCTGTTTCACCAAACAAATGATCTCCAAAACTGTCGACAGATGTTACATTTTGAAAGATCACATATCCTTTTCCCTGCTGGAAAATATTATGCAAGTGAAATTTATCAATTTAAAGATCAGAAAAAAACATATTATGTAATATTTATCAACTGATCATCCAAAAATAATATACTAGACAAAATTACTAACACAGCACCGTGTTAATACACATGTAAATAACTTCAGTGTTAAACTAAACATAGCAATTCCATGGGAAATTAAAAAGTCCAAAAATTTTGAATGAATAGATTTCTAATCACGTTGTTTTTTCTATATTAATCAAGAGTGAAAAAAATAAAAATATTAAGACAAAAGCATAATTCAGAACGTTTTTTTTTTGGTCTGGAAAATACTCGCATCAAAATACCCACATAAGGTAAAAAACAAATTGAAATAAATTACAGTATCTGAAAAAAGACCAGAAGTGACTATTTTGCATCTTCTGACTAAAACAAAGTTTTGTTTTTGAAACTTACCTTAATATTTTGTGATATATCCTTTGGCTCTGCGTACCTTTGCGTTTCTTGAGGGGAGGGATCTATATGAATTCGAAATTGTTACACAATCAAAAAGAGTTCAAATTGCATTTTTATTCATATCATTGTTACAGAGAAGTTATATCTCACACGGATTGTTCCTTCTTTTAATCTTTAACCATCTGTTTGTGAAATTTTAATACCTTTTTCAAATTAATTTTAAAGATTTAGATAGCAAAAAGTATTAAACTATCCCAATTTGTCGACACAAAAAATTGAACTCAGCATAAAAGTGTTTATGTATGAGATTTTGGTAGACGTCTATCTTTTAAAATACCGTATAAATGGAAATTTTAGCGAGACTCAAATTTAGCAATTTATCCTGAAAAATTGTTATTTTAATTTCATCGAGATGAAATTTTAGCGATTTAAAAATGTTCACTTATAAACCTATTACAAATAATACGCAATCAATTTTTAGCGATATTCAATTTTAGCTATCTCAGCAACTTCGCTGATAATGCCAAAATTTAATCCTCTCTAAAATTTCTGTTTATACGGTATAAGGAAATATATATTATATATGTACCGGTTATTTTTGGGGGCTGTGATTTTAAGTGATATGATTTCGTCGGTTCTCCCTGATTTTTCCTCATTTAGTACATCATTACATGCATTAAATGTATTTCCCCCTTTTTTCCTCTCTCATTGCATTTTCTGATTATGTATATCATGTACTTGTACATCTGACCTGAATTTATGTGCTGTAAATACTTTTTATTATCCTCATGTGCCACATATTTTAAACAGGTCTGGACGATTTCCGAATAAGGAAGTCAAGAACGATAACCGTGAATCGCTATTAATACACAGAATAAACAAGGCGCTAGCCCTTCTGACCAATAAGATAACAGCATTTAGACAAACCCATGAAAAAATAAATAAAACACGTGGTTTTTAAGTTTTTTGCTTAAAAGATTTTTTTTAAAACAAACTTTTTATAAACTTTATGCGCATTTAGGAATAATATAATATTTATGACAATTCTACCGTGAACAAACACGAATTGAAAGCTTAGAATACGTTTTATCTGGGATTAAAAATCTGTCAATAAGAGGTAGCAATCCCAAAAGTTTAACTATCGTTAAAAATGTGATATAAATACGGTAAATTTTCAGTTTTTAGAGCCTGACATAAAAATCTTATCGAATAGATATCAGTCTTTATTATCTTTTGAGTTTTTTTTTTACAAAATAGTCAATGCAGTTTCTGATATGCGAGGTAAGATATTGGGATAAAACGCATTCATGTATACATTTAATTACAGTATTCTCTTTTTTCCATGTTATACTCCTTTCCTTATGCCCATTTAAAGTATGCATAGCTTAGTATTCGCGCTCATCCCGTGATGATTAAAACTATTTGTGTATAGTCCATATGATGAACACTTTCGTGAGTTGATCTATACACGTGGAATTTAAGCAATGTCGATGAAAAGCGGACGGCTAAACAAAATTATATTTACCAACATATAATATATTCATTCTGGTAAATGTTAAAATTGAACTTGCTAGGAACTTGCTGGTGCGATCTATACCTCAGTACTAAGCGAGTACATTCTATCATGCATTATTTTTTTCTTTACCGAGATAAAAATGTTTCGGTTGTTCACGGTAAATATGTGGGGAATACCTTATTCTTCTCAAGTTTTCATCTTACTTTTACAGATTTTTTGTTTAAAAAAAAATCTTTTTGAGGAAAAAAACAAAAGCACGTGTTTTCTTTTTGTTCTTTTAAAATATGTTTTGGGGTGTGTAAAAATGCTGTTGTCTGATTGGACAGAAAAATAATTACGTGTACCAGATGTACATTTATAGCAACTTATCGTTCTTGACTTCCATATTTGGAAATCGTCCAGACCTGTTAAAAGGGCTTGAGTGAATAAAAGAACTTGAACTTGAATGGGTTAATTTTCAAAGAATAAGGTTAAGTGATATCGTATAATCTGAAATTTGAATTAACTGTAAATCTACAAATTCTGGGAATCTGTCTTGACGGTGTAATTTGTTGAGCATTCTTTTAACTATTTGTTGCGTCCACACTCGTGATAATTGAAAATACATTTTTCTTTTCATTTTTTAGTTATGTATTTTGCATCTATTCTCGTGGACATTCAAATAAAGAAAAACATTGACACTTTTTGATTCTTATTTTTTTTTACTCTCTTTTTAATTTGATGCGTTGTCTTTAAACACTCTAAACACTTTAAATACTAATTTTTTTTTCTTATGGCTGACCATTAATCGTGCGATTAACTTATTCGTTCATTGTAATTATAGATCACTATTTTTTTTTTACTCACGCAGAATGAGATCGAAAATCCAGCGAAATGCTATTATCATTTTTGATTTGGTGCAAATAAAAAAAAATTAACTAATGCGTAGTTTTCAACCACGTGTTTGCAATAAAAATGACCTAGAATCAGCTTGTTTAGTAGCATAAATATCCTACCTCAGCATCTAATAGTTTCATTCTTGTCCAAGTCGGCGAATAAGGTGAGTGATAACTTTTTGATATTTGTATTTATTAATTTATTTTTATCATCATTATTTCTGTATTGTTAGTTTCTTTTTATTATAAACTGCTTTCTTTTAACGTTTTCTGGGTTTTTGTTTCGTTCTCCTATCTTTCTCTTTTAATTGAAATTTTGTAATGATATATCTAAGCAATGGAAATATTAAACTAAATTAAAAGATTGTTGTATGTGGCATATTCATTATAATATTAAAATACATTACAGTTATTTTATTAATCTCAGTTGCCACTTTTGTTAAGTTGTGTTCGTGACGTGATGCCAAATAAATTAGCATAAGAACATTTTCCCATCGTTTACACTTTGTATATTGTAAAAATGGATTGTTTCATTTATATGCTTTTCGTCTTACGTAAACATTTATTACAGTTTCCAGTTGCCTTCCCAGGATGAGAGATGTTACTTTTCTTATGGTTTTCGCTTGCCTTGCTGTTGTCATCTCTGGGAGTTTTCCGATGAAGTACGTCATGTGTTTGAACAATTGCTCTTCAAAAAAAGAAACCTGTGACAAGAATTGCGCTACAGCTAGATTCCTCATACTTTGTCTTTCAAATTGTAGTACCGATTTTACACGGTGCAATCAAGGATGTAGAACATAGTCCTAAAAGCTATGGCATACAGTGTATACTGTGTGCAAATAAACAACGCTAATCATTTTATCTTAAGGAATAAAAATAATTCATACAAAGCAAGAGTTTTTGTAGTTGATTACAACAGCGGATATGTATATGCGTTTTATATGAATTACGAGAAATAGACTTCAATAGTAATCTAAAAAAAAATCATAATAAACGTACTGTTGATTACTTCAACTTCTTATTCGTCAACTTCCCTTACTTGTGTAACAATAAACCTACCCTTATCTTTTCTTATTGTGAACTTTTTAATTATTTTCGCTTCATAACTTGTGATATCGCCCAGATATACCTTGACCTTGCAAAATTGAAATTTGCACAACTGGGCCACTACAGTGGGTGGAACGTTATTGTTGACAACTTAAACGAACGATCACGTTACACGAACGATTCCGCACGATTAACGCACGATAAAACCTGTTACACGAACGATCTTTCACGTTCACGATTCTACACGTTACACGATCTTACACGATTGTTAACGCAAACGCACGATTCTTCACTCAAAATAGTTCAAAATATTTGGGAATCAATATTTTCGAAACGAAATACGGCTTAATACTTATTTAAGATTTCAAAGAAATATCAATATTATTTCATAGACTTTGAAGAAAAAACGGAAAATGATATTTCTGTAATTAAATATATGCAAGACTTAATATTTTAGATTAAAAATAATTATTTCTAAGGTAATTCTCCGATAAAAAAAACGGATTTTGTTCGTTCTATTAGACGATGTACATGTTTGTGGGTCGTATAATTTTATTGAATTGGATATCATGATATGCA